AGCTAGGTTTGGTTTTGTTTAGGAATCGGTAGGCATAGCAGGTGCTGGATCTGATAGATGTTTGTGATTCTCCTCAAGGCAAGGAGCCATTTGTGCTCCTGCTGTCGTTTTTGTAACGATTGGCATTTTCACCTCCAGAGATGATAGGAAGGATGTCTGTCCCTTCCATTGCAGTGTTGTCTAATGCTTTGTCAAAACAATTAAATACTTGTAAATACTTGTCTCTTCTTGAAATAAACGCTGCAGTAGGTTTGGGTTTTGTTGTTCTGAGATGATCACATGTACATACTGTTCCTCAACACATGGTTTTGATGCTTCTTTCTATAATTAATAGTGACTGAGCTGCCTGACAGCCCTGGCTGACATGGCTGGATTTCAGGTATTTTCATTCAGTGGAGCTAAAATATCCCTGATACCTCATTTACTTTTCTTTTGATTTGTATCACTTTGTCTTATCCATCTTATCGACCTTACCTTGTCTGTCATATTTAGAAAAACTTGAATCAGATGAAGATCCAGAGAAAAAGAGGAGAGAAGCCCAGGAGCCTGTAGCCAAAAGCTCAGGAATGAGAGCAGAATTTGTGGATTGCTGGAGGATTGACACCTGTATTTGTTAACCAGGTTCATTATAGGCAGATATCCCTCATAGTTCTAAGCCTTCATGGGTGCTTAGAGAATGTATGTCTGGGCTTTGCTCACAGCTTTTGATTTTTGTTTTTCTATGCAGACCAACTGTGAGTGGTTATAACAACGTGGTTACATTTGTGTAACCTAACAGACTTCCTGTAAATCCTAAGCATAAATTTGGATTTCCATTCAAAGATGTATATAATGGTAACTTCAGTTTCCTTCTTTCTGGGAGGCAGGAGAAAGGGGACCATCATTGCTGTCTCCTTTCCCAAATTTAGGGAAACCAGGTAATTCATTTATTATTATGGATTTTTTTTCCTGATTTTTTTCCTTTAAAAAAAATAAAAAATTAAACGTTCATAATTCTGTTTAGTTTGTTCTATTATAATAATGATCAGATTCTGTTATTTTCAGGAAGCAAAAATCTTCTAGATTTAGTACCTGCAAATATGAAGTTCTTCACTGATAAGATAAACATAAAATATTTTAGAAATAATCTGAATTTAATATTTAGCTAAAATCCCATTATAAAATAACAGCAAATTATATATTATAAGACTGGAGGTGTTTTCAAAATGCATAAGTAAAATGAAAGCAACAGTTCTGTGGATTTTAGAGTGTTTCTCTTTGCTTTTGTTTTGTTTTGTTGGGTTTTTTTAGGGGATATCTATGTAGTATTTTGGAAGCACTGCCTGATCTATCATACTGCTGTGGTTCTCTAAAGTGAACTGATGCTGATTTTAATTTTTATCTGTGTAATAACCTTTTAGGGAATCGATTATATTTACTTTGGTCACTTGTTTTCCAAGCCTTGCCATATGTTTCATGTCATTTATTTTATTATCATTGCTAGCAGTAAAAACATCTATATTTCAGTCCAGAAACCACCCTAGTTTTCTTGCAAGTCACTTCAGGTGGCACTTGGTTGTTGCTATGTCTTTGAAAAGTGAATGGTACTGTTTTGTTATTCACGTGGACTCAATGGCCTGCCACATGGCAGCTTGTGATAATCCTTCGTGAACATCAACAACAAGCTTTGCCTTGGCAATGTCAGATTGTATCTCTCACTTGGTCATAAGACAAGTATGATTTTGAAACAGTAGGTTTCACTTAATGAAGCATCAAATTTTGTATCTTTGTGTGTGTATTGACCTTTAAGCTATTACTGAAGACCTTTACGCTTACTTGTAGAGCATATTCAAACTTGCAGTGCTGAAACAAACAAAAAAACAACAAATCTAAGAAGCCTGATGAGGTCACTTTGGATGGCAGCACGACTCCCTGACCTATCAGTTATTTCTCCTGTTTTGTGCCATCAGCAGACATGCTGAGGGTGCTACCACATCACCCAGGTTAGTTATGAAGCTGTTGAACAGGACCGGACCCAGTAAAGACCCTTGGGTCAGTATGGATCCCTTTCCTTTGCTGCTGGCCTCCAGCCAGACTTTGCATCACTGACCACCACTCTGGTGCAACCATTCAGCCAGTTTTCCATCCCACCTCACTGTCTGCTCTTCCAGCACATACGTTAACAGCTTCTCTGTGAGAATCTTAATGGGGGGCAATGTCAAAAGCATTACTGAAATTCAAGTATACAATACCCGCTGCTCTTCAGTTGTTTGCCAAGACAGTCATTTCATTGTAGAAAGTTTGTAATTGAGGTTGCAAGGCATTTAAGTGATACCATATCCAACTGCAAGTAATCATAACACTGTCTTGTATGTTTTAGTATTCCATAAACGGGTAGCATCATTGCCTCCATCTGCCTCAGCACCCTCACTCAGAAGGCAGTGAGGCCCTGCCACAGCTGCCCAGAGAGCTGTGGGTGCCCCATCCCTGCAGGCATTCAAGGCTGGGCAACCTGAGCTGGTGGGAGGCAGCCAGCCCATGGCTGCGGTTGGGCGGATGGGCTGTGAGGTCTCCTCCAACTCAAGCCATTCTATGATTCTATGATTGCAACTTGGTTTAAACTATTTGTTTTAGCTACAGATATTGTCAGCCCACTTCTGGGCGTATTTCATGAAACACTTGGGGTTAGAGATGTAGAATTATGAAGACGTGTGTGTGTGACTGAAATGTACTGGTAATGTTCTTTTGCAGCTTTAGAACTTTAGAAGAACTGAGTTTGCTGGAGAGTTGGCCTCGCACCTGCCATGCCTGGTATTCAGAGCAGCATAATCTATTTATTTCTTAATTTCCTGTATGTAGAATATGCAGCTCTTCAGTGAGACTGGTGTTTCCAGTTGCACGTTCACGTAGCGCTACAAGACTATATCATCATGACTGTATAAAAAAGAACCTAAGACTTCCCCATTTTTCAGTGCTTTCCTTCTTTTAGGATATTTAGTAATTTTTCAACTGCAGGATCAGCATAGCTTTTCTGCAAAAGAAAGTCTTCATGTTTTGTTAAGAACTTAGTGTAGAAATGTTACAAGGCAAGACGTTCTGAGGTAGAAACTGGTGGCTGTTTCTGTTTGTCTGATGGGATGTGCCTAACCCATTGATGTATCATAGAATCACAGAATCATAGGACCATGTATGGCATGGTCCTTGTTGTAGCATAGTGAGCCCTCCTGCTGTGGTGGGCACTGTGAGGTAGGAAAGCTGCAGTTGGTGTTGTGTGAAATTCTGTTTGTTTGAGACCTGCTGCAATATACAGTGAATAGACTGCTGTTAGTAAATCTATCACATTGCCATTGAGGATAAAATGAGATTTTCTTAGAGAAAACAACAATATTTAAATTGTTCTTGTTTTATTTATGTTTATTTATTTTGTGTAGTATCTTTGGGTGGGTTCCAACCCAAAACATTCTGTGTAATGTTATTTTTGGTGGGTATTTAGTCAGTAAATCTTAAAAAAAAAAAAAAAAAAAAAGGCTGGTAACCCTGTTGAATCATGTGGAATTTTAGTAATGAAATGGCTGGGAGTTACATCTGATTGGGAAACCAGTCATCATTCATGTGAAATTTGTGCGATTTCTATCAAGAAGAGGAAGCAGCTTTTCTTACAATATCTCAAGAAGAAGTTACTTCCTAACTTGTTCTGCAATGTATCTTGCTCCTGATATCTGTGGTCCACTTCTTAACTGTGTCAACTTTTTTCCTTGCTGAAATAATTCAGTAGTATTAGGAGTCAATTACTGCTTAATTTTGTTGCGTTTCTATTTGACACATTTTTATGCCATTTAGCCACTCAATATGATATTGTTTCTGGATTATTAAAATGGATGAAAACAAAAAAGTGCTATCTGTTGCTAAAGCAGGCAACCTAAAGCTTTAAACAAGCAAGCAAACAAGCAAGCAAACAGCTTCTGATGCGTGGCATATGAGGTCAGAAATGGTTCCCTGTCCTGAAACTGGACGACTTAAAATACTGTGTAGTTTAAGTCTAGCACAATTCTTAAAGGTTAACCTGCAAGTGTTCTTGATGGCAGAAACAGGTATCACTTGCAGCTTGAAGAATAATTTCTAAGACTTCAGACTTCATTATGTAAACACTTTTGTGCTAAAATATTAGTTTGAGAAAGAAAGGAAAAGCGTGTCCCAGACTTCTCCTGGAGTGCCCCTCACCGTGTCACCTTAATACAGTCCTAGTTCTGATTTTCCATGTGATACAAGAAAATTTTCAGTTTAATTGGATTTTGATTGTACAGCATAATCTGCTGTAGGGATTGAACATCAGTCTAGTGTGCTTGATTTCATTATCGTGAATGCTTCGTGATCTGTGTGGAAATAGTCACCATTTTACATTTTACTAATAGGAGGAAAAAAAACCTGACCTTAAATGATATGTGAAATTAAATTTTTACTACTTACAAAAGTTGCCTTAGTGTGTATTTTTTATACTTGCAGGGATCAGCTTTAACAGGAGGCGTAAACTCATATGGTTCCTTTTCAATCAGATGTTTTAATGGGTATATTTGAAAATTAATATTCCTTTCCAGTGTCTGTGGCATCAGAAGCAGTGGGGTTTGTGGTGATGAATTTCAAATGTATAGAAGAACATTCAATGGAGATGATGTTCAATGTATAACTTGCTTAATTTGCCAAATTCACATAGTGCTATGGTCAAAAATTAACCTTGAACTAAAAATAATAGATTCATTTTATAGAACTTCTGTTCTTCACAGCAGCATTTACATTACAAATCCCAAGTCTCATTCATGTCAATAAATAAGATAATGGCAATAGCAGTTGCAAACTTGGAAAAAAATCTTCATGGTTCTGCAAAATAAATATTACAGAAAAAGTCAGAATGGCGGTGTTTTTAACATGCAAATTATGCAGTACTCACTTTAAATTACTGAGAATTAAAATCTAATTAAAGATTGCTGACGCAGTGGAGAAATGTTTTTAATTAAAATGCTTTTTGTTTTTTATCCCTGTCAGGTATTGCTTTGTTTTTGCTTTGGGATACCTCACTGTGTGCCAAATTACTAGAGTCTATATCTTTGATTATGGACAGTATTCTGCTGATTTTTCTGGGTAAGGACAAAAAAATCTCTCCATCTTACCTTCCTGTGTGATGCTACATCTTTGTTGTTTATTTTTCCCTTTTCCACCCATGGCAATATGATGAAACCTGAACTGTATCTTACATACATGTATATGTCTGTAATCTGATGCCATGCTCTGAGTTAAATCTGAATGTTTTAAGGGATTTAGCTTTTAGCTTTTCTCTCTTTTGGGTTTTATGCTATGTGTCCCAGAAAGGAAAGGCCGAGGAGAGAGGCACCCTTAGAACTAGAAAGCTATGCCTGTTTATGTTCTCATTTTATATGAGGACCTTAATCTATATTTGGTTGGAACCATATGTGAGCAAAATATAATAAAAAAGGTGAGGCAAAAATGAAAAATATTGGTGATTCTTGTCAGTACTACAGTCGGAAACGAAGCACATCATTTCCTATGACTGCTCCTGGAAGGTCTTTGATTTAAAGGAGCATTTTGGAAAAAAAAAAAGACACGTGTGCAAGTCTGTTTAAAAACAGCAACAACAGAAGCATTAAATACTTCCCAGGAATAGTGGGAATGGCATTGGTGTTTGTAGTTCAGTATTACTGTACTGTGTAGCAGAGTTGTGTTTGCCCTGTCACTTCTCAATCTTCATTGGTAAGAGCCCCAAAACCACCTTGTAGGCTGATGCCTGTAGCTTTTATGGTTAAGTTCATCCTTCCTGTTCTCATCAGAGGAGATCTAACCAATGCAGACAGCAGAGCCTGGAGGGCACTTCAGCTGACCCTCCACTGAGTGTCTACCTTGATGTGAACTGGATCACTTGCCCCTGACTGTTCTGTCTAGATCTCTGCTGACTATAATGAGAGATTGTAACAAAGATATATGCATACAGATGCACAAAGCTAGATTTACAGATGTTGAATTGAATTTCACCATGAAGAGTGGAATCATGATCCAAATGCTGTCCTTTACAGATCACTTAAGGGCCAAACTGTACAGCCTTACATCAACCAAAGCTCTGAGCTCACTTGGGAAGCAGTGTAATTGTATTTGCCTGTTACTGATCTAAAACTATTAATAGTAGCCTGAGCACACCGTTCTTCAAATGTGACTGTATTGCTCTGATAGCAGCTGTCTTTGATGTTAGCTCCGATTTCTGCCAGGTCTAAACGTGTCCAGAGATTCATGAAGTCTGTGCTCTGGATAGAGCTGCTCTGTTCAAACCACCCTTTCATGCCTGGGAGCTTGGTGTATGCGTATTGTATTAAATCTCTGGCATAAACTGCATTTGCTCCCTTGGGACCTGAGATACGAGTTGTTTCCAAAACAGGAGGAGAACTGCATGCTGCAATTTGAACTGAAAGAGGCTATTTTCCCTCAGTTTTCCCTATTTCCAGAGACAGAGGTTGAACTTAACAAAAATGCCCTAACCAGCTGGTGAATCCCAGCACCAGCAGTTTCTTCTTGGTACCAAAGAAGCTAGATATTTCTCATAACCCATCTTGCCCATCTGAAGTGTCCAAGCCCAGACAATCTGCCAATGAAATTTGACCTCGTGCTGAAGGTGCCATTGTGATTCTGGCTTCAGTACTAACAGACCCCAGCTGCCTGCAAGCTTTCCACAGCTTCCTTGCCCTTCTGCCAGTAACTACAAGGGAAATGAAAACTGATATTCTGCCACACTGTTCCAGAAAGGGCTCTTCCTCTTTTAGTCTCTAGATTGTTGCTCCTCAGTCACATCTCTGAAGGCACTGGAAGAGCCATTTCAGAAAGAAAAAATATCAGTATCTGCTGTGATAACAATGACATGTGTCAGCTAGAATTATTGTAAGGTCTGTCTGAGCTTCTCCTGGGCTCCATCCCTTGACCAGGCAGGATCCATGCATTCACATATCCATTTACAGAAGGAAAACCTGTTCTGTTCAGAATCAGCTGGAGATCTGTGACAACACCAGGCAACTCTTCAGCTCAGATGCTGAAAAGAGACAAGAGAGAATATTCCACAGTGTCTGTTCTCATTTATTTTTTTTCCTTGTTGATCCTCCCCTGTCACTCTAGCCTTGATAACAGGATTTTTGGGGGCACTGGTAATACAGGGGGTTAGTTTTCCCTGATTGCATTTGAGAACTGAAAATACATTGTGCTTTGAAATAACCTGAAACCTAAAAAATATCATTTGGCAGGCTGAACCATCTGGTATAAGACTTGTCAGTAGAGGAGGACTTGATGGCTACAGGGTGATCATTTTTCTCTATTTGTTTTTGTTGTTGTGTCTCCAGCTCACATACTACTATGCAAATAAAATATGTTTAAGAACTGTTTTCTGAATTCTGGTTACGCTCGTTTTATGCTTTAGTCTCCCCTACCCCTGTTAGGGGTTAGAAGTGCTGAGATTTACATCAGTTGAAAATGTAAGTACAGTGGAGATGGTACCATTTCTTAGTAAACTTTTCTGCTTTCCAGTGCAGTTAAAGCTGAGTTACATACCCAGTCAAGAATCTCTCTTGGACAGTTTATGATCCAATAAAATGTAGGAAATTCAACACGAACTGAATTCCACTGGAGTCAGCATAACTGTGCTAGGTTTTAGTTTTATCGTTTATGTTTACTTGAAGCACATAATAATTGTAGATGGAAAAATTAAGCATAGGATCAGCTGTTAGTAGAAATAGTGAAAAATGCTCTGAGTATCTAAATAAGTAATGCTGCTGCTCAACTTTGGTATTCTTATTATCCTTTGTTTACTGCTGCTGTAATTCATAATGCATATAGTTGTTCTGCCCTTTTTCCCTTACTCTTCCCACTAAAAGAAAAGAAAATAAACAATGCTATTAGAAAGTAAATGTGGAACACTGGCTGTGTTTGTGGGACCTAATGCAGCAATAAAAGGCATTGTTTATCAAATACAGTATCTAAGGAGTAAATTATTTTCATAGCTTGAAAACGGTGTAATGTTTTGAGCTCCAAAAACATACCTTGCAATGGAAGTCTTCCACTAGAGAGTAATTAACCTGGCTATTTGTATAACATTTTCCTTAATATTTACATGTCCAAGAAAATTTGATTTTTTTTCTAAACTGTTCTTTCTTCCTTTCTTGTAACAGTCCAATGATGATAATTACACAGAAGATCACTAGTTTGGCATTTGAGATTCATGATGGTAAGATTTCTTTAAGCTGTCTTAAATTTTTCTTTTTCTTTCTTTCTTTCTTTTTTTTTTTTTTTCCCTAAAAGCAGTTGACATTCTTGTACTGGGTTATAGATTCTGAACGCTAGCCAAATAATTTCAAAATTCAGAGGTCACTGTTGTTGAGAGATTGGTGGTAGCAGTACATTGTGATCTCCGTTGCTGAGCACCCATTGTTTTAAACAACATAAATACTATGTGTGTACAGGCTTTAGTGCTGTTGTTAATTTTTTGAATTCTGGTAAGCCTAGAGAAGCCTGCAAGCTTAACTTTCATAAATTTGAAAATACATTCTTGTATGAATTCTTGAATGAATGAAAATGAATGAAAATGAATGATCAATGCTAGATAAGTCTAGCTGATGTCTGAAACGGTCAAAAAGCTGATGTCAAACTTCAGAGAAAACATATTCAGAAGTATTAGTTTTGCAAGCTATAATCAGAATACAGAGTACGCGGATTAGAAGAAACAGTTTATTCTGAAGAAGTAATAATTCTGTTATCAAAGGTAAGTGCTTCCCCCTATTATTCTGCTAAAGGAATGGGCTATTCCAGATTTGCTGAAATCATGCACAAGTAGTGGAGTTGAGCTATAGGACAAGCATGGAAGTGTTTCTGATGGTCTTGAAACAAATGTTTCATTTAGTCAGCTCTGTTCTTTAACTATGAACTGCACAAGATTTTTTTATCTACTTAGAATCATAGAATTGTTCAGATTGGAAAAGACCTTAAAGATCATCAAGTCCAACCACAATCTAACCATACTACCCTAACTCTGACAACTCTGGAGTACTGTGTCCAGGTCTGGAGCCCCCAGTACAAGAAAGACAGGGAGCTGCTGGAGAGGGTCCAGAGGAGAGCCACAAAGATAATCAGGGGACTGGAGCACCTCCCCTACGAAACAGAATGAGGGAGCTGGGCTTGTTCAGCCTGGAGGAAAGAAGGCTGCGGGGTGACCTCAATTGCAGCGTTTTAGTACCTAAAGGGAGCCTACAAACAGGAGGGGAATCAACTCTTTGAAAGGGTTGATAACTGCAGGACAAGGGGAAATGGTTTTAAGTTGAGGGAGGGAAGACTGATGTTGGATGTCAGGGGGAAGTTCTTTACAGAGAGAGTGGTGAGGTGCTGGAACAGGCTGCCCAGAGAGGTTGTGGATCCCCCGTCCCTGGAAGTGTTCAAGACCAGGTTGGATGGGGCCCTGGGCAGCCTGGTCTAGCATTAAATGGGGAGGTTGGTGGCCCTGCATGTGGCAGGGAGGTTGGAGATTCATGATCCTGGAGGTCCCTTCCAACCCTGGTCATTTTGTGATTCTGTGACAACCCTCTGCTAAATCATGTCCCTGAGCACCACATCCCAACGGTTTTTAAATGCATCCAGGGATGGTGACTCAACGACCTCCCTGAGGTCATTCCTTTCTGTAAAGAAGTGTTTCCTGATATCCAAGCTAAATTTACCCTGGCACAACTTAAGGCCATTTCCCCTCATCACCAGTGAGAAGAGACCAGCCCTGCTCTTGCTGTAAGCACCTTTCAGATATTGGGAGAGATCAATAAGGCCTCCCCTCAGCCTCCTTTTCCCCAGACTAAACAGGCCCAGTTCCTTCAGTCTCTCCTCATAGGGCATATTCTCCAAGCCCTTCACAAGCCTTGCTGCCCTTTTTTGGACCTGCTCAGCACCTCAATGTCCTTTCTGTATTGAGGTGTCCTTAAATTAATACATACCATCTGTATTTTACTAGAAAGTCCAGATTATTTTAGGTCTGAATTTGTTTGAGATAAGTTGAATTCTGAGTATCTATCATGAAATTTATTTCCACATCAGAGATCCCTTAGAGTCTCAGTCAGCTTGTGAGGATACAGTGAAAAGCTCTCTCTCTGGTTGCATTTGCAGTTATCAGAGTTCTTGAGTTGGATGATCACAGCTGCTAAAAGCACAGTGGCAGCATGATGAGACCAGTGTAAATTCAGGAGCATCTCTGAGTCTTATCTCAAGAGATGATTAAAAAAACATGTACAAGGGAGACTGTGGTTGTATTAAATCAATGATTTTTAAGCATACACAGCCTGCAAGGGATCTGTCAAGAGAAAACAATGAAAAGAAGCCTGCTGCCAATGGGCTTTTGTTCACTATACAAAGATCCTTGCTTCCACTGGAAAATATTTTAAGAGATGTACGGCTTAAGGAAGAGGTAATGTTGAAAATCACTGTATAGATCAATTAATGGCACTGTGAGCCTTTAGCCACCTCAACTTGGCTATATTTGTCACCAACTACTTTTTGTTCTTTTTTTTGCCCTCTCCTTGATTTTTACCAGTCTATCTAAGGAAAAGTAATGAAAATGAAAAATCAGACGTGTTGCTGCATTGGAAGATCTTAGTAAATATCAAGGCTCTAGCTGTGGTTAGGTTGGTTTTGTGGTAAAGGCAAGTCTTCTGCACTTGATCTTTTCCTGGCAGCCTACTCAGTGTGTTCAGCTGGTTTCAGTATTACATTTGAAGATCCTGGAAAGAATTGGGTATAAGGGCACTCACTCACACTGCATAATAAAGAGTCTGTCTGCTCTTAGTGAATCCTTGATCCCAAGTTGAACACCAGCACTTCTGTAAATAAATAGTTCTGGAACTGTTACAGCTCTGCACATTTATTGTGGACTTCTACAGAGGGAAAATTGTATGCAAGTTTTATAAGAACAATTTAGGTTTGATTTGTAATGCTAGCTTTTTAGAAGGTTGCATGGGTCACAAATTTACACCTACACTAATTTAGTCTGTGCCTTTTGTATTTTGAAGTTAAGCCCTTGATAATTCTTGTCTTCTTACATGTTCCTGCTACTTAAATGAACACTAACAAAATTAAATAGTAGTATGGTATATTTTGTATTTCTTGCTGACTATCACACATATTTTAAAGGCAGGGAAGTTTTTGTTCAGAGACAGAGAAAAGTTCAGAGACTGCTTGTGACAATATTCATTCTTTCTGGCAAGATTTAGATTTATTTGTGTAATGTTAGGCTGCTGACAGAGTTAAGGGGATAAAAAAAGGAACCTTCCAAATTCTGTATGAAGTACCTCTTCATCAAATTTAAAACTGGCATGTTTTGGAGAAGGAAAGGTGCACTGCAGCTATTCCAGAAGTAGGCTGATTGGCTGCATTTAGTTCAGGAAGGCTAAAAATGAAGAATTTCATTTGCAGGAGAATTTTCCAGCTAGAAGATGCTGTTAAATAGAGAAGCTTTTTCAATTATAAAGGAGAAAGATACCATCATTACTTAACTCCTCTATCTTCCAATGGCAACAGTATATTTTTTTTATAAAGTTGGTTTAACAAAGTTTAATGTTAAGTAAGACAGCTGTTTAACAAGCTTTGATGGCAAGGTACACTTGGTTATTCTCTACATAGAAGACAGGATCAGAGGAAATCATCCAGAAGCCCTTTTTGTTGAATCATGAGGTTCTGAGTGGACTCCTTGCTTTCCAAACTCCTCCTCAGAGGAGCGAGGGTGCAGCAGGACTCAGTCTTAGTCCCAGCCTAACAATGAAAGACCAGCTTGGGCTGGAGGATGCCATCACACACACAGAGCTCCCCCTCTTTTGCTCACAGCCCACATACCTGCAGATGAGTATCACTCATTTTACTGCAATTCTGCAGGAGCTGGGAGATCTTTATGGGAAGGAAGGACCCGTATCAACATCTAATCTCACTAATCTGTATGTGCTTTGACAGCTTGTTTTTAACTCCAGTGCTTAATGAATCTTAAACAAAGAATCTCTTCAGATGTTTATATTCATAACCCAAGGAAGTTCTGGAGCTCACAACATACCTATTTTTAAAGCACCAAGAGATTCAGTCACCAAAATCAGTGAATATTAGGCTCGACATTTGCTATTTAAATGGGCAAACTTGTTAATGGCTTCTTCCAACCTCATTTCTCTTCTCTAACTTAAACTAAAGTAAAGATTAAAACAACACAAAAACCATAAACAGTAACTTCTTATATGTAATAGTTGTATAGTAAGGCAGATGTAATTCTTTCAAATTTTCTCCATATTGCTGCGTTGCATTTGTCCAGAAACTGGCTAGACACAGGTAGGAAACCAGAACCATAATGCTCTTCTGTCAGCTTCTTGGTTCCTGGAGGCTTATTTCTCACATGCTTTCTGACCACCAGAAAATAAACTTTCCTGTTCCTTTAGACACCCTCCTGCTATCACTCATGCCTTGGTTTTCAACTCTGTAGTTGCTAATGCTTAAGTGCACTGTTTCAGGAACACAGCTTGCTTTTCTCTAATTATTATGTCCTGGTGGATCTGGTGCCCTCCATTTTTAAAAGCAATAGAGCAGACATTGATACTGATCTGTTCCAGCACTGCATTTACTGTGAGAGCTAAAAGGAGATAGAGTACACTGAATATGCAACTGAAAAGGTATTTCTGTTTTATTTTGTTCGGATTTTTTCAAGCTCTGCCTTTTCTTTTTCAATCATGCATCAGGAAATATAGTTATGTGCTAGTCTTACAGCAGTGTTTTGGTTCTCCCCACATTTATTTTGCTCCAGCAGCCGCATATGAGGACAACAGGGGGATTGTTTGATGCTGTTTCTCCTCATATTGCTGTTGTACTACGGCATAGTGTTGTTGATTTGCAAATTGGCTATTAAAGCTTATTTTCCTCCCAGAATTGTGGAAGTATATTCTTTGTCCCACGTGGTCCCTCAGGAGATGATGTCTTAATAGGTGTATGAAACACACAGGAAAAAGAGATAAGGAAAAATAAAAGTAATACTGGATAAGCTTACGTGTTACTATGTTAGTTGCAGTGGTCTTAATTATTTTTTGCTACCACCTTCTTGCAGTCAAAGCAGTGCACCATACACTTGGGATGGTTATTAAGCAAAGTAATTTGGAAGAAAAAAAGGCAAATTTCATGTTCATTCACATCTAATGAGCAATCCCATCCAAATTGCAGTACCTGCTATTCTGATAGCAGTGCTGGCTTTATTAGCTGTGCTCAGATAACGTAATGCTGCCAAAAGTGTTAAGGAATGCTTCATGTTTAGATTGATGCAAACATTCCATCTTAATTTTCAGTTAACTTGATGTTTGCCTTCTCCTTTTCTCAAGGCAAATAATTCCCATATTCAGCAGGAATGCTGTGCTGGTATGGTGGGTTTTTTTTTGTTTTTGTTTTTTGTTTCTTTTTGTTTTGGTTTGTTTTGGTTTGGTTTTTTTGTTATTGTTGTATTGATTGGTTAGTTTTAATTGCAATGCTTTCTTCAGAAATCTTAGAGCTTCTCTCTGTCATCTGCCTCTTGGTCTATATTTTGTACATCTTTTTTTAAAGTGCTCCCTCTTGTGTTAGTGACAACATAGCTATTGCAGCTGCTACCAAATCGCTTTAACTACTCTATATGCCATTAATGTTCTAAGGAATTACACTGTATTTCTCAACTCCTAAGACTTGTGTTGTTTGGGGCCCATGTTTGATCATGTCAAAATTTCTGATTTTTTCTTGCTTTTTTTTTTTTTTGTAATTTCTCTGCAATTTTACTTAGCTGACGCCTGTGTCTATTTGCTGCCAGCATGCTGGTAATAACTAAAACTGTTATGGAAAGTCTATGTCTTCTTCAGGCCTTAAAATATTTCATTAACAGTGTGCATTTAAACTCAGGTGATCCACTTCTGAACCTCAAATTAAATCTTGTTGTGGTTTCAACAAGAATGATGTGATACAATCTTCATGTTTAAGTATTATTAGTTAATATCATATTTAAGCATTATAAATGAGTTACTGAATAGCCAGTTTTTCATGCAAATGTAAATCTTGGTAGATTCAAGCAGATTAACTACTAAGCTGGGTTAATACCAAGATATAATGGTAAATATTGTGCTGTTGCAGTGAGAAAGCCTGATAGTAGCCATAACAGCCTTTAATAAAACCTGTGGGGAAGGATATTGGTATATACCCAAAGATGATGATTTACCTTTATGGTGTGATCTCCTGAAGAGAAATGAACAGATGCACTTCCTCGTGATCTAGATCAGTGGAGATAATTTTTGTTAGCGGTGATTTACAAAATTCTTGTACACAGAAGGAGCGCAGGCTTATTTCTTTACAGATGAGAAAACTGAGTTATAGTTGCTGAAAGGCCAGATAATTTCACTTCTCTCACAAATGTTCGATAAAACCCATTTTCTCTAATCCCCACTGTGTGATTTGGTAGCAACTAGAAGATGCAACCATTGCAGAAGTATGCTGCTTTAGAACAGGAGAAAACATTTCTCATAATCCCTAGAGCAAAGTTAGAAAAATTCATAAATTCCCTACCAGTGGCATATTGATGAAATGAGGTGTCTTTACCTCCAGTGTGTAGCAGGTAGGGAGCAGCTATGATCTGGGGCCTCTGTCCCCATGGGCAAATACACTGCCTCAAAAGCATTGAACACATTTATCTTGGTTTAGATAAGGTTGGACTTGATGATTCTTCAAAGTCCTCACCCTGAAGAGGTTTTAAAAGCATCTTTTCCCCTTTTCTATATGTATTTTCTATCAATTAGAAGAAGTCTGTAGTACTTTTCTGAAAGCTTGCAACTGTGACACAGGTACTGAGAAGATGTGAAAAAAAAATAGGGGAAAGGCACTGACCTCTGAGAAGCTGGTGGCTGGAGTGAAAAATTGATGAGGCTTACTTGTACACTGCATGCTTGAGACAGCAGGTGTATTGCCTGCCACATTAGGTAGGGGGAAAGCAACTCCACACGTATATGGATAGATTTGAACCTATTTTAAATATGCCAATTCCTTAACCTCTGGCCCTCCAAAAGTACAGGTCATATTTCACCGATTAGATTCTTCTATTTGAGTTGTTTCCCTTATTATGTAGCACATCAGAGGTGTGAAATCTCTTATTAGGCTAATTACCTGTCTTCAGTCCTTCCTTGTTCAAGTTAATTTGGACACACTTGGTCACTGCTTCCTCCTGACTCAAGGAAAAAGGTATCTACCAGGATTTAGTACCTGAGACCTGTTATGTTGTGGCCTTAAAGGTTAAAGTACTTTTTAAAAGCTTCTCCCACTTTTTAAAATACTTTTAACTGTAGTTAAAACTTCTGCTGTAGTACTGAGAAGACAGGACAGCATAATGGTGGGGAAGAGAAAATGCCTGCATGAAGTCAAGGGCCGTGCTTTGTCCTTCAGTTTCTTTCCTTGGGTCTGAACGAAGGAGGGTGTCTTTCCACTGTGAAGATGAGTAATGAAGAAGGTATTTTTTCAGGTTGTATCAGATACCCATTTGCTGTATCTATCTCAGCTTGAAAGACAAATGCAGTTTTTAAGACCAAAGTGTCTGTATGTCATAGTTCCTGGAATCAAATGAAGACAACAGGGCTATCTTCCCTTCAGATAAGTATTTCCATGAGTCATAGAATTGACCGAGATTTGATATCACTTCTCCCCCCACCCCCAGCCCTGTTGTGTGTGTGTGTGTGTGTGTGTCTCAAACTTGACTGATTTTGATATCTAACTAGAAAACAGACTCCATTTGAAACTTTCCTTATGCTTAGATCAAATGTAAGGACTCGTTTCCATGGATTTAATGGCATCAAGGGGCAGGCAATGTTTCTGTGAGTGAAGGAGGATCCTTTCCTTCTATGTAGTCTGTATGATCACTTATTTCTGCACAGAAACTGACAGTAAATTCATATCTATTTTACCTCTACACTTTCATTAAACTGGGATGGAGATTGGCTTTTGGGTTTAGGAACTGCTAGGAAGGAATATAATTGAAGTGGGATTCCATAAGCTTGATTTCCCTTAGGCAGCTATGTTTTATAAAATAAGTGAATGCTTGCAGTCACTAAGGAAACTTGCCAGTGTGAATAGCAGAGATGGATGCACATGCTGGTGTCTGAGCTAGAGGCAGACCTGCAGGAAGAGCTGAAGCAGCCATTTTGGCAGGCACTGCTGGCTGCTCTAAGACAGGCCTGTCTGAAGGAAGGAGCTCAGCTTCTTCCATGCCCTCACCCTTAGATTACTGTATTTTGTAATTATTTCAAGTGCTGAAGGTTCTATTCACTTTTACAGCAATATGAATTCTGCAAGTTGCTTTTCAGGAGTAGGCCAGCAGCATTTCAAAAGGCACTGCAAGAACATAAATCCAGCCTTGCTGCTGAATGTAGCCTTGGCCTGCCCCTGTCTGCTGGCAGGGCTCCGGGTTCTGGGCAGGGACTCTGCCTGTTGTGCCTGCTTCACTGGACCTTGTTTATAGTCCTTGTTTGCAGCACGGAGGTACCTTTTAAAGGTCTGCATTGGGTTTTGAGTAGCATAAATCTGTCTTGGGCTGTGTTCAGATTACACATCAGAGGTATATGACCCTGGGTTACTGCTGTGTTAATGGGGCTTGGATTTTAACTTCCCAGATAGAGACTAAAGGGTTCTGAAACCCGCAGAACTTTGAAATCTGAGGAAATGTAAGGGAACTGTATTTTTCACCACTTACTACAAGCCTTCTTAATGCTCTCCTGAAATCCATGTGGTTTCAGGTTTGGACACTGTTGGATATAACTGAGGATATGTAAGTTTGTAATTTTGTCAACAGTAAGAAATGATTGATCCAACTCCAACTAAAATATTATGTGACATAATACTTCTGAAGTTACTTGGGGACATAAAGAAAAAGATTATACTGCAGCATGAGGATTGCTCTACTAATTAAAGCCAGTACTAATTAATAAGTGCTGTTTAAGCTTTTCTTTATTTTTCCTTTTTTCTGTGCTCTTTTCTAGGTATGTTTCGAAAAAATGAAGATTTGACACCATCACAGAGGTGTTTGGCTGTAAGGTAGGCTTTTAGTGATTTGAGAGTCTAGTTTGGTGGCAGGAAGAAGCTGATGGTTTGTGTGCTTTATTAATGCTGTGCAGAAATGGTACAGCTCCTGTTCAGGATCGAGCGTTTACAAACTTGGCTAAAACAGGTCCATGCATTTTATGTTTGTAACTTAATTACAGGCATCTATTCTGCAAAACACCACTTAAAATGGAATATTTTTTTTAAGTGCAAAAGCTAAGTTCTATGCGTCATATGCAAATTACATCCAGACAGGAGACTAGTTAACATTTAGTTTCAACTATATTTATAACACATATAAAGTAGTTGGCAAAGGAACATATTTGTCTAATTTCTGTTTTTCAGCATTTAACTCACCTGTTTTTCTTTCTTTATTCAAGAGTCTTGCTAATAATATGTTGTCCTGGGCTTGAGGAATTTTCCTCAATTTAGGTTATTGCCAGTGAACACAAACCTTTGTTTACTGACTCAGTTATTGAGGAAAAATGAAAACATAAACAATTGAACAAGCACTTTAGGGAAACACCCTTCCACCTTCTTCCCCAGGCTCCGCTTCAGGTCGAGGAGAAAGTCACAAGAGTTAAAGACATCATTCTGAAAATGCTCAGAATGGATTGGAAAGCGATGCTATGTTTAGAGTATTAGTATAAGTTGTGATTACAAAATATACACAAACTGCTTTTCTGCATTTGGTTTTTACTGCAATTAGAGTAAGCAATGACATGCAGTATGACTTCTCCTGCTGTGGAAATACTGTGGAACTACACATTCCATCTCACAAGCTGCTTGTCTTTGAATTACAGACGCATGCCAAGTCTACTGGAATATTTAAGTTACAACTGTAATTTCATGGGTATCCTGGCAGGCCCGTTATGCTCTTACAAAGACTATATTACTTTCATTGAAGGCAGATCATACCAACTGCAACAGTCTGAAGCAAATGGGAAGGAAGATACAAAATATGAACAAACGGATCCTTCTCCAAATGTAAGACGTATGACTCTGACTCTTGCAGTGCTGATGCTGATGTAATCATTGCATGAAAAGCTTGGTTTGCACTGTTTGTTTACAGGCATAACTGCTGAGCTGTATCTGGAGTTCATTCATCAACAGTATAGTTCTCTGTTCAGAAAGTTAAATACTTTCTTTTTAAGCTAGGTTTTCTCCATGGTTTCCAGTCTGGATTTTGTGGACAAAAGCAAATGAAATTGGTGCTTCCTAACAAGCTTATATGGTAAAAAGCCATCTTTAGATGAAGCAGTTAATGCATGTTTTCTTCAAAGTGTACACTGTGTACAGTGAAGACAAACTGTATGTCTTGTCTTTTGAAAGTGGATGAGACTTAACAATTCCGACAAAGTTTTATGAAAGTTCTCAAATTCTATTGTTTTCTAATGTTTTCTGTTCTGCATGGAGCAAGCATTAAGTTGGAAAACATGTATGGAAACAATTTTTCCTGCTTTTATTTGTGTAGAGAAGTGCTGAAGCTCAGTGTTATTTTTTGCTTTCATCTGAAGATGTAGTAAAACATATACTAGTGATAGGTGCATGGCTAGCCATCCATACAGTGTATTGCTTTTCTCTCTGTTCTTCTACTGGAAAAGAGAATATGTATGTGCAGAAGAAAGTCCATTTGATCCTACCTTACTGAAGAGTTTGCATGGTCTGAATTAAAAGCTCCCAGAGCTTGTTCCTTTTGTAATTTAATCCAAAGAGTTTAATGTTGAGGATACTGAATATTATCACTCTCCTCATATATTCTTAAATAGGAGCGTATCTGTCTTTTACATTTGTGTCTAAGATAATTAGTACTGCATATTAAAAACAGAATTATTATGGAGTCAACTGGAACACTTTGCATTAATGGCTTTCAATGACTCCAGGAACAATTACTTGTTTTCTGCTTGTCTTTTAGACTGCTAGCAGTTGCTAGAGCAGATGAAGGCATTCCCACAGCTGCTTGTCACATCCTGCTAGCTGGAAGATTCCATCCCCTAGTGAATAGAACACATAAGTGCTTCTCAATCAGTTGTCATCTCCAGCCACTTCCATTCTTTGAATGTGGGTGAGGACATTTTGCACATTCTGTTCTACCGGTCTTATGTGGTTGTTGTAAGTTGCACCACAGAAATATAAACAAGTGGCTGGAGAATGATAATTTTTTAACCTGCTCTGCATGTTGGCAAGCTCATGCAAGTGTGCTGTTGAGGAAGTCGTCAAGAAGGGAGAAGGACAGATGAGACTTGCTTGCACAGATTGGCACTTCATGGTCTGTCCATAGCCTGCACTTGTGTGTCGTATGGGCTAGGTTGCATACTCTTTGTTTTTAAACAACCTTTTATCTTATGTACTGAACTCCTATTTCTGGATAAAAATATTATGAAGTAAGGTTACTACAGATAAATAGACCTAACCCAATCTGCTGGTATCAGGACTTCTGAACATGCATCTGCTGTTTGCCTAGCAGGGCTTCAGAGCTTTTTACCACATAATCTTTCCAGCGACCCAAATAAAGTCAATACAAATAAATGTAAAAATATAACAGATTCTTCTTTCAGGTAAGCTGTTTTTGTTAAAGTATATTGCTCTCAAATTGCTTGATGTTTTTTTTGCAATTAATGCTGCATTAGATTTTGACATAAAAAATAAAAGAGAAGTTGACTCTGCTGTTGATACTTCATCTCCCAACTGGCATTAGAGAAATCTGGCTGCGTTCTATAACACCAGAGAATATTCTTTGCTTTTGGAGAAATGTGGATGATATAATTTGCTCACTGCATTTGCTGCATCAATTAAACAATTCATTGTTTTGTTCTAGAAGAATGTTTAAATCCCATTAACTTCATGTTAATATCTTAAATTTGTGCCTAGATTCTCACGTTACCTTTAATTTCAGTGTAAATTGTTAGGTAACTCAGAAAAATGAAGTGTAATGGGGATTGGCAAATGTTAATGTACTAAATGAAAAAAAATCCTTCAGTTGAGTTTACAATAAGCCTCTTGTTAAATATAATTTATATAACAGAAGTAGTTCATGCTGGCCTCCTCCCCTCTCCTGTGTGTTGATTGCATGATATTAACTTGGTTTAGTATTTTTGCTGTGTTCATTGCATGTTAAATGAATCAAATCAGCATATTAAAACTCATTTCTTATGTCCCTCCTATTGTGCCTTTTTGCAAGCTATCAATTGTTGGTGCTCAAAGTGGTGTCAACTCTCAGAAATTAATATCTGTCTTTGTAAGTTTCTTTTTATTATGGCTACCCTTAATGTACGAGATGCCTGTCAGCAGATATCCACTTTCTTGCATATTCTACAGACTCTTCCTATAAATTAAAAAAGTTTTGGGTTAATTACGTGTAATTTTTAACTGAGGTGCTATCCTTCACAAAATGATGCACTTTAACGTAGCTCAGTATTATATTGAGATCCTTATTTTTTATCAGCCAAGAACAAAAAAATATTCAAATAAGGCCTAAAGTGCCTTTTGTACTTTTTGTTTGTATTCATATACACAGTACTTCTTCATACAGTGAGACATCTGTGCGAGCTCAGCGTTTATTGCTTCAGTTAGAAAGCTGTTCCTGTGCTCCTTTCACTAGTCAGGAATCCAGCTTTCAACCTACTTGCATTCCCATCTAATTTATGCACGTTTGTTTTTGCCCTGGCACACTCTCCTAGCCTAAATACGTTTTTTTCCCTTCACAATATTATCCGTATTTCATATTTTTTGTACAGGTGCATTTAGTTTTTATTCATCAGAGCTAAATGAGCCAGGCCCTTCTTCCTTCTTGATGCAAAATAAATTGTATATTTCACATGAGGTGAAAGGGACCCATCCTGTAGCTTCTGTTCTTGCAGTTCATTAGCAGAACAATTGCCTTGGACTGTAGTTTTTGAGTTATTCCACAAAAAGTGAGTTTTACTTTTTGACTTGATGTACTGAAAACTTCAGAGAGTGAATGAAACAAAATTTCAGACTTCTCAGAATTAGTTTCTTCATCCTGTAGAGACTGACTAATCCTTCCATGAGTATGGAACCCTGTTTGTGCTTTGGCAAAGGATAACCATATGGCAATTGAACTAACTGTGGTGTCAGTTGTGGATTTCTGTTTGTGTGTAAGATTATTCAAAATTTGAGTGCTCTAAGCAAGCCAATGCTAGCATAGCATTCTAGCTCAGGCTAGAATGTAGTGATCTGCTGAGTCCAACCCAAATATCAACTTGTGGCTTCTGAGTTGTGTACCTGTCACAGAATGCTGGTGAGCGTTCCATGGCACAGTGATCTGATTTGAGTAGTTGATCCCATCCAAAGCTAGTGAAAACAAAACAAGGCAAATACCCCAACGGCTGGTGTTTCTCCTCATTTGCTTCCCTAATCTGACCCCCCAGAATGAAAAGAGCAAAAACGTGTAGCCGAGGTGAGGAGAAAAGGCAGGACTGCTTTGTTGCATTGCAGCCTGTATTTGGACTGTCCTTCAGAAATGCTGCTTAAAGCAGGCCTGGAGTTGCAGATCCCAGTCCTTGTAGGAGATGATGTCCAGTATTGTTTGCTGAGGACTTCAGTGTGCCTGCCCATGTCTGGGAATGGTGTCAGCAGGCTTGGTTGGGGTTCTGGGATTTGTAATTATAGAGTGAAGTAGTACTGGTTAAAAAACAAAACAGAAACAAAAAAAAACCCATTAAGTAATATGCCATGCTGCTTCTGGATGTTGCTATCCTTTTTCCTATATTTAAATGTTGCTGCTAAAAATTATAAATAAATATAAAATAGTAGAATACATCATTTAAGTAAATAAAAACACCATCCTCCTATGGTACATAGGAGTTCTGCAACTACAGATTGAAAACCTCAGAGTTTATTTTTCAAACGTATGTCTATATGAGTTCATTGTTCTTTCTTAAGATGAATTTCATTGAGAACCTGCTGCTGTTTCTTCAACGAAGGGCTTTCACCTCCATGATCTAGTTGAAAACCTGCAGAGAAGTACCAACGCATTTTGGGTTGATGATACAGTATGTGTAAAGATGGGCAAGCTGTGGCAGTGGACTAAAGGGAGAACAGTACTTACTGTGTGTCACATCGTGTCAGTGAGACTTTGGTACTGAGCATCTTGCAGAAATCCCTGTGTTCATTTGGGCACTTAGTGCTGCATTATGGACCAGAATTACTGTTTTGGAGCTAGGTATTTGTAGCTATGCTGATTGAAGTAGGACTTTAGGTACTGGAAGCAGGATGGGCAGCAAAAGGACTGTGAGTATCTTTTTGTTCAGTGCTTCAAAGAAAAATAGCTATCTTGATTTTTTTTCCTACTGAGTTTAGTGTCATAGAACTATAAATTAAAATGGTAATATTTTAATTTAAATACTGAGTTTGCTTACAATGAAAACTTGAGAGTTGGATCATTTAAAACAATTTGCAATCTTCTCATCGAGCTGCTCGCTTAGAGTGTTCCTTTAGGAGCTTGCCCACACTGCTAACCACCCTTGGAACATGAGTGAGACTCCTGGCTCAGAACAGTGCGTCAGGCATTGTTGCTCTGTGCATTTTATAACAGAACCTTAACAATCCTGGTGTCCTAAAAGCAGCACCCTCTTTAGTGTGGTGGTTATAACAAAACTGAATTTTGAGGAAACCCGAGTCCAGATTCAAGCTGAAGAATGTACTTTTTACATGTCTGCGAGCATATTATTTGACTGCTTATCACTTGATCATTCTAGGTAGGAAAACGGGACGTTATAGAACTGAGGTATTTTGGCTATAAATGCATAAATTATTTCAGCATTTTCTTGTTTTAGAGCTTAGGTATTGGGATAATTGAACACAGATAATTGACGTATTGAGTTGGGCAGCAACTAAACATCTCTATTATCCCAAAGGTTTCAAAAATGAACTAAAATTTAGTCATTCTTTCTGGTATCTGTGCAATAACTGCACGTGTCCAGTGCAAAGTTACATGCTTTGTGCTACAATGTTTTGGCAACTTACTTGTTTAGGTAATTTGACAATGAGATAAAAACTGGGGTTGCAAAAGAACTTCCTGTTATTGAAGGGGATTCTTAGGGGCTCAGTGAGGTTGAAGTTGATTGGCTGAGTTGCCAAAAGCAATGGTACTCACAGTGTGATCGAGATAAGGATGTTTCTTGAACACGTCTAAAATGCTACCAAACTACCAAATATTTTAAATATTTGGTTGTAAATATCACTGAAAATCTGACACATATATATACACCTGTTTAGGAAAGACTAACTCCAACTTACCTTTGTTTTCAGAAGGCTAACAAAACCTGAAGCTTACAAAGTCTCTTATCTTAAACTTTGCAGATAGCTGTGGCACAGAAGCTCTTAATCTGTGGACTGTCCTTACTCTTTCACATGACTATTACAAAAACACTGCCTGTGGAATACAACATTGATGAGAACTTCAGAGCTACAGCATCGTGGCCTGTAAGGGTTTTCTACCTATACTTGTCTCTCATGGCTGCCAGACCCAAGTATTATTTTGCATGGACTTTAGGTAAGTGTGGAAAAAAACTACTCTGTATTGAACTACATTTGAGATGCTGCACAAACTATGTTTTAAAAAGAGACAGTGCCCTCTTGAGGCCTTATGAAAACATTATTAGATGTAAATATTACAAGGCATTGTCAAAGACACTGAATGATGTCTCTTTCTTGTGAAACAAAGCCTATCAACCACAGCACTAAGCACAGTGTTGTGACAGTGTGGCACATGAGATCACGGAATACTGAACAAATCTATGTGAAACGTGAGGATTTTTGAAGAGTGATATTGTTTTAATGAACAATGTCTTTTTTGCTTTTTGAAATGTGTACTAAAACTAGTCTGATTTACAATCCTTAGTGTTCTAGACATATCTGAGAAGTGGCTCTAAAACTTTCTGTGATTAGTTACCAGTAATTTGCTTGATGTTATTATTCAAGCATGAAGAGAAAACGAGTAAATTGAAATTCAGATGTATAATTGTGTTGTTAGCAGCAGATACGGTGGTATTTCCAGAATTGGATTGATGATGCTTCATTTTTAGTCTTTGTTCACTAAAAATTCTATTTGACAAATGTCAGAACACCCATGGTCCCTCATCTAAGATACTGAATAGATAATACAGTTTAAGCAGTGTTTTGCTTTTTGCATCACATTATTTAAAAAACAGAACAAACAAAGAAAAAGCAAACCCAACACACAAAACCAAAACGCTGTACGTATGTAACTTGGCATGCTGGATGTCTCTCACAAAACAGATTTCATTGATTTCCTCCTTCAGATTTACATTATTTGTTTCATGGTTCTTTTGAGAGAGAATCTGTGGGAAACAATGCAATAAGGAATACCTTAGTATGGCAGAGAGGCATGACTCATTTACTGCTTCCTGGTCATTGAATGATGTGCTTTCAGTGTGTCTGGATATAGTAATTTTGGAGCTTGTTGCAGAACGAAATATTTTTGAATATTGTGCTCTTAAGCACCAGTATCATCATCTGTCAAAAGGAGGAGTCAGCTCAAAAATGAATAATTTTCTGCTCTTCCCCCCATCATTCTTCATATGGATTTCTACTTATGTTTGGTAGCAGTGAAGAGTTAGTTCGCTTCTGGTAGAATAGTGAAAAAAATAAACGACATTAATTCTGTACTTCTAGCTTGCTAATTAATTTTTTTCAATTTTCTCCTTCAATTTTATCTCATCTAAACTTCTGATAGTGTGAGCAGAATGTGCAGGGCCTAAACATTTTGCTGGATGTTATGCTTTTGCTGGATGTATTGCTATTCTTTGCACTTAGAAAAAATCTGTTAGTAAAATGAATTATTTAGAATAAATACTAAGTGCTAGTTAATAAAATGAGTAACTGTAGTCTTTCACAAGGAAGAACTTCTTTACCATGAGGGTGACAGGCTACCCAGAGAGGTTGTAAAGTTTCTCTTTCTTTGAAGCTGTTCAAAACCCACCTGGATGCTTTCCTGTGCCACCTACTGTGCTTCCCTGTTTCCACCTGCTTTAGCAGGGGGTTGGAGTAGATGATCTCCAGAAGTTCCTTCCAACCCTAAAATTCTGTGATTCTATGATACCAGATGTATAAATTTTATTGCTTTAAAAGATAGCTATTAAAGTTGTTACTGATGAGCGAAAAAATGTAAATTATGCTGTATTAAATCAAGAGTCACAAACCCCTGTTCCAGACTTGTGAATGTTTGGAGAATCAGCTTAAGGAAAGGAACAGAGCATTTGGGTTGATCATTTATTTTCTGAGTGCTTTAGATTGGTACCTTCAAAAAGCTGTTGAGAAGAAAGGAAAATGCATAGTAATGATACATAAGTAAATCTATAATACAAATTCCTTTCAATATAGTAATAAAAGTTGAGCAAATATCCTTTCCTCACTAGTTGTAGGTTAAGAGGTGACAGTCTGAATGGAGTGCTTTAGATGAGTTCTGAGTACACACACAGGGTTAATGTCCTGCCACTGGAGGACCTGAACTGCACTGCTACTGTAGAGCCTGTTGGCTATGTTGTGTTCAATTCCTTAAGGTTACTTTTAATTGTGAGAGAAATGGCCATCCCCAGGGCCATTTGTACTGCCAGGTGCTCCATGGTGAGCACACAAAGCTGAGGCAAAGGGCTGTATAAGAGAGAAGGATATCTGTACTGTGAGAGATAATAATACTATTCATACTTTTGCTTTTGTAGTTTTTTAATTGAAAGTGCCTATGTAAGCATGGATTCTTTGGTTGTTCAAGCATCTGATACACTGATCCTCTATATTTAAAAATAATACACATAGCCCTTAAAATGTAACATATTTTGAACAACCTACCTGTTGTGTAATGCACAATACAGGCAGTTTACAATTTGTTTCTTCTTGTCTCATTGCAGCAGATGCAATTAATAATGCAGCAGGATTTGGTTTTAGAGGCTACGATAAAAATGGAGTTACACGTTGGGATCTAATATCAAATCTGAGAATCCAGCAGATAGAGGTTTGTTCATTGTTGTTCCAAATAAAATATATGGCCATGTAGGTATTTAATTGTAATTACATTAATTTTTTTCTATACATTTTGTTTATCAAGATGGTGTGTATGTTTTAAATCAGAAATGACACATTTGTACCCTTAGGGAAGGATCTTAGAATATGTTTTACTTGTCGGCTGACTTCTAAAATATTTTGTGGTTATAAACTGCTGAGTAAACTCCTTATTCAGCTCACTTCAAAGTAGGTTTTTTGATGCAGTTCATATGCTAGAATTTGGGAATGTTTTATAACGTTTTACAATTACTGACATAATTGTTTTGTTTTTCTTTTGCAGTCTTCCACAAGCTTCAAGATGTTTCTTGATAACTGGAATATCCAAACAGCTCTTTGGCTTAAAAGGTATTTATTTCTTAAGGGCAAGCTTTTCTGTGCTGAAGTTCTTTTAAGTAAGATGTTTTTGAAGAAAATTTAGCATTTAAAGCTGAAGCTTATAAAACAGTACAGTTGTTTAGCAATTGCATGGAACATTCTTCCTATAATGCCTGTATTAAAGCCTCTGAATTCAGATCACTCAGTGTAAAATGTTTGCTAATGACAGAAACTGCTTGACTTCTTCACTGGTCATAGGAAAGTATTAATATGGAGGAGTCTTTTTTACTTTATTTCCTCTTACCATTCAAAGCTGTTTGTGTTGCTGAAAGCAGTAGGCAAAGCATTTAGTTTTGGCTGCTAGCCTGTGTAGGCTGGGAATTTTGTAGCCACACAGTGATACAGGAACTTCCATCCAGTCTGTGAGAGAACTTTCTGCCCTCCTTCTGTAATGGGTGCGTGGCAAATATCAAACCCACAGTGTGCTATCAAAAAAACATTTACAAATGAATATCCCTAGATGCATTTTTTCTTGTCTGGGAAACAGAGTGTCTAGTGATCTAAATCATTCTGCTTCCACCACTTCTTTGTGGTAAACAGAAACAAAAACAAAAAAGCATTCTTGAGAGTAGAACACAGGTTTTGTTCAGCTTTGCCTGGTGTCTGTATAGACAGTCTTTTATCTATAAGTCTGGTTTAATTTAGATCCCCCCATCTTGGTATCACTCAGAGGACTTTCTCTCCTATTCTAGGATGGCTGGCAACAGCATGTCACTTCCATCAGATTTCATTATAGTATGTGCTCTGCCTTCCACAATTTCTTCCCTAAATATTTTGCTGACCCAATAATAAAAATTAAAACAAACAAAAACAAAAATAGAGATATCATTTAATTATTCTGACTGAATCAGTTGGCATCAGAATATGTCAACTGCCAAGAAGAATTGATGTATAAATTTATTTGGAATGGTTGGAGAAGAATCTTTGAGGATAATCTGAATATGTACTGATTCTTTCCACAGTGAAAAGGGAGGAAAGTGGAATATTTTCCTAAGCATTCATTTTCAGTAAAAGATTGTTTTAATGTCTATGTACAAGGACCATAAATAGTGGCACAGAGTATGTGTTACAATTACCTATACTTTGTTAGTTGTAGTGCTACAGTTTTCATAGAAAATCTCACATATTTAAACACATAATATTTAAACTCACATATTTAAACGCTTTGAAACTCATATATTTAAACATATAAACACTTTGAATATATCACTTGTTTACCATTTAAAAGAAGGTAAAAAACTTAGGTATTTATCTCATAAGAGATACAGAAATGTTGGACATAAACATTGTTTTTGTGTTGGTTCTTTTTATATCTTTGGAAAAGGAACCATCATAATTGTGAATTCCAAATCCTGATTGTGTGTAAAAACTTTGTAGAACTGTTAAGCAGTTAATTGATCTGCACATCATAAGGATGCTTCAGAAGCACTGTAGATCACAAAATAAAGCAGTTCAAAGGTATTATGGTTAGAAGGATGCATGTTAAAATAGATATTTGATGATGGGGCTCTGGGCTGATATTAAATGGGAAGCTTGGTGGCCCTGCATGTGGCACAGGGGTTGGAGATTCATGATCCTTGAGGTCCCTTCCAATCCTGGCCATTCTGTGATTCTGTGACTCTGTGATATTTACACAGTAGCAACGTATATTAATATATATTATATAATATATATGTATATGTATCTCATTATAGTGTTTCCTCCCTGGGAAATTCCTCAGCCTATTCATTTTCATTTTTATTTTTCCAAAGGAAACATGTAATTCTGTTTGCAAAAGCTCTGGACTTTTTGTTTCTCTCTTCTGGCTTCTTCCCAGGTTTCCTTTTTTCTTACAGTGAATGTAATACTTCTTCTATAACCTTCAAGGTCTTTCCTGGCTTTTTTATAGACAGAATGAGTGATATGAATGGATTAATTACAGTTCTTTTCTTTAGATAGCACTGTTACTAGTACATCAGTATTACCTCTATCTTTTCTTTTGCAGCTGCCATCTACTGTTTGCTCGTGCTCAGTTGATAGTCACTGTTGATTCATATTTATGATCAGCTATATTCAGTAATATTACATGGACAGTTACTGTTTTGTATCTTCCACTTTTCTTAGATATTCTAGACTTTGGACTTCATGTTGGTGATTTCAGAACATCATTCAAATCTGTCAAGATCACTTTGGATTCTAGTCCTTTATCTGCTGAGAAAACAATGCACGCCTCCTCTACTTCACCTTCCCACTCAAAAAAAAAAAGAAAGGGAAGGGAAGACAGGGTGAAAAAGAAACTTGTTAGCCTATCACCCAAGCTAGTAATGAAAGCATAGAACCAGGCCAAGGCAGTGCCTTGCTGAATAGCTGACGCATCTTCCCACAACTAGAGGAAATCATTACTAAATATAACAAGCCATATTTGAACAGATTTTCGCAGCCTGGACCCCTGTTTCCTTCATTTGCTTTTAGAAATGTTAAATGAAGTGTTTCAACAAGAGTCAACAAGTGTTGACAAAACCATGGAGGAATTTTCAAGCTTACATTTAACTCTTTTAAAATGAGGCCTGATGATTTTTTCTAGTATATATCTTTCCTGACCTGTGCTGGTAGGGCTGAAATTTGGTTAGTTTATGTAGTTAGTTTTTCTTAAGCTCCTGAATTCTTTGCAGGGGAAAATCTGCTTAGTTAAAGCAGTTTAAACCAAAACAGAGATTGAAGCCATTTATTGATATAAACTAACAAGACCTAATTAACCAGCAGTCAATGAAATACACATTCAAGATTCAAATCATTACTACAACAGGTAATGTTTTGTAAGTGCATAGTGTTAAGATTTAATGAACAAATTTATTCTGTGACTAATCTCAAGGAGTTTAAAAAATACATGTGCATGACCACAGTTACAGGCAGCCCACCCACACTCTGAAGGACACGTGGGTTACAAAAAAACACCTCTTTTTTCCAAGTGTGGCTCCCTGGCTGTACACAATGCTTTTGGGAGAGGAGGGGTCTCAGCTTGGTGTGAACCTGCTGATTCACATGGCCGTTAGAGAAGCATGCATGCATCTCCACATGCATGCAGCTGATAGGGGCAAGATGTTGCACCCTACGGATAGCATACTGCACTAACAGTTCCCTGGCTGGCTGCAGTCTTTATGATGTGTTCCAGGGAGTATGCTCTGTCTTGGCCTTGGCAGAAGTCGTGATGCTGGTGGTGACTTACAGCAGTGTGAAACTAAGTTTGGATTCCAGGATGTCTCCTCAGCTGTCCCCCAGAGATGTCATGCTGCTTTTGTACTTCTTTTTAGGCTGACACCTCCTTTGTTTCAAAAGTCTCTTGGAACGTTCCTGGTTACTGTTTAATCTGGCCAACGTTGCTTTCTTCTTTATTTTGGGCAAATGTCCTCAGTCTGGTCTATTATGCACACAAACACCTGCACCCTTTTTAGGTCCATGTTTTTATCCTAATGCTTGTTAGCAAAGTGCTTTTGGCACGGGGAGGGGACTGTCCTGGTACGCCACACTAAAGAACTCATAGGATAACATTTGCTGCATCTGTTTGACTGAAATAAGCTATGGTTGCAAAATACACTTTTGATAGTTCACTGTGCAGATCCCATCTCTTTTCCTTTCACTCTTTAGCGCTGACTGTATTATTCGGTCTCAAAAACCTTTTATGTATATGAAAGTAGTAGAAAAGTAATTACATAAGTAGTAAATGTTTTGACTCTCTGTATCATAAGCTTGTCTTCCTCTTTCAGTAACAGATCTACATTCTCTTCTTTCTGCCACTTGCTACATATTTATAAAACCTTTCTACATGTTGGTGTCAATGGCCTTTTTTAGTTAAAACTCATTTTTGTTTGCTAGTCCTAGATTTCTGTTCATGCGTGCTTTGTGCTGTTTAGTCTAACTTCACTTTAGTATGCATCTCTTTCCATATTTCCTATTGCTTTTTGGTTTTCAGATCATTAAAGAACTCTAGATGAAGCCATATCAGGACCTTACCATGCTTCCTATCATTGTTCCACATCATGATGGTTTGTCACTGTGTCATTTAATGCTGTCTTTTAGTAACTACTGCTTTTCTTGGATTCCTTTTTCCCTTCGTCCTTCTAGAACTCCTCACTGTAGGTCCTTGCTTAGTAATTCAAAGTTTCTGTTTTTAAAGAGCAGAGTTCAGCATTCTCCTTATTTGATATCCTCACGTTCCTCAAGTCATTCATCGTCATGCTCAAAACTGCCCTACACACCTGTGTGCAACTACAGTATCTCTGTTACTCAGAATTGAAGGAGTTGTTACTTTTCCCCTTTGCCCATAAGTGGCTTTCGTTTTATGAAAAATATATATCAGACTCATTGCAAGAGTTTGATGGTTTCTGGCTTCTGGTCCAGCTTTTCAAACACATTTTTAGATGACTTAAGATCCCTTATTGATACTGATACCTGTCTTTGGATGCTTCTGTGCAACTTTGCTATAAATAAGTATCATGAAGGATGGCATTGAATGTAGATAGCACTGAAGGTTTAAATCTGCAGCCGTGAGCAACTTTAGGCATTTTCTGTGTTTTAATGTAGTGGCATTATTTTTAAATAACAGTAAACTGCAATTGTACTGCAAAGAATACATTAGAGATGAGCCTGCCAAAAGTATGAAGGTATAAATGATAAGTGGGAAGGTTTGTTAACAATCTGTCTCATGTGGTTTATCTTGATTTGTCTTTCATTTGATAGAGTATGCTACGAGCGAGCCACCTTCAGTCCAACAATCCAAACATTCATCCTTTCTGCCATTTGGCATGGGGTTTACCCAGGATATTACTTAACATTTTTAACAGGAGTACTAATGACGCTAGCAGCACGAGCTGTGAGTATCAACCAAATATCTTCTTAACTAATAAGCATTTTTGACAAAGAAAAGTGAGATCACAAAGTTCAGGGACAGCTCATGGGTAGCAATTGTGTTTTCTCAGCTGGATTTTACAAGCGAATTCAGCTTAAGAAATAATGAATCCAGCATAGGAATTAATGAATCTTTTTATATTACTCCCATTGGATATTAGTTGTTTTATTAAGAGTTTTGAAGTGTGTCATAAGAACTAATATTTGGAGTATTCTGTTGGGTTTTTTTGTACCCCACTAGTCCTAAAATATACCTTGGTAGTGAACATATGAAAATGGTTTACCACATAGGAGCTTTTCAGCAGAAGTGTTCTGGTTTTCATTTGTTCCAAAACTGAGTGATTACAGAATGGCTTCATAGAATAGAATGCCTGCCATATTCAGACAAGTAGTCTTAAAATGCACTGGATTTAGGGGAGATGGATGCGTATGCATTGTTTTGCTTAAGTGTGGCTTAAATACTTAAAATCCCTCTGCTGTATTAAACATGCTGCCCTAAAAGGCACAGAATTTCAACTGACTTCTTCAGAAGTTCATGGGTACTTTGAATGGTTCAGAGATGTTTGTCCAGACATTTCTATTCTTCCTGTGTATTTTGTGGAAGTACAACAAATTCTATGCACTAAAGTAGCACTAATTAGTTTATTACTGATCTAACTTACTATTATATGGGTGTTTTTTTTAGATTAGAAACAATATCAGACACTATTTTGTTGAATCTCCTGCTGTTAAACTATGTTATGATATTATAACATGGATGACAACGCAAGTAGCAATAAGTTACACAGTTGTGCCATTTGTACTGCTTTCTGTGAAACCCTCTTTCACCTTTTACAGGTAAGCACGTTCTCCCTGTTTCCTTTTCTTTAACTAAAAGAAAATGAATTTATTTTGTTACAGCACTGTATTCTGTGGGGAAGACTTTATTTCCATTTTCCCCTATTTTTTTTTATTTCAAACAAATATCTTAGGCACAAAGTACTGTATTTGAGTGGGTCTCAAGAATTTATTCTTAAGCATCCTGAAAGACTGGTCATCGTTTTATTCAATGATTGATTTTATTTGTTTTTTCAGCTCCTGCTATTTCTGTCTTCATATCGCCAGCATCCTGGTGTTGTTGGTATTTCCATTGAAAAGAACTCAAAAAGGAAATAAAAAGCATGAAAGCATCCAGCCAGTGTGGTCCAAAAAACTAGAAGAAGAAAATCTTTTGCAAAAGAACAATTATTCCACAACAAATAATAGTTTCAGTCAGAAAGAAGAAATAACCTGCAGATATCAAGCACTAAAGCAGTGATTGAGGAATATTATGATCAATATATTTTGTATGTTTTCAGAAACCCATTTTTAGCACCTTTTAAAGGGGTTTGTATTTGTTTGCAAAGATGTTTAGTATGAAAAGAATGCATTACCTAGGAAAATCACATACAATAGCAAGACTGGAAACAAAACAGATTAACCCCTCCCATGCCATGTCCCGGTGGGTCACGCCTTATAAGAAGATATTACCATTATTTCAATGGGCACTCAGGACTTGCAACGTATGTCCATAGGGTCATATGTGTGCCCTTGCTGAATGTACGTTGTGTATCCCAAGGCACTGATGGGGTGAAATGAAATCGTGTCAATCTAGGATTAACAAATGGAAATTAATTTTTCCAAATGAATGACTTGCCTTAAACCCTCTATTTACTGAAACATTGTTTCTAAGTGGTATTTTCAAGTCTGATTTTGTGGAAAGTATTTCAAATATTTAATACTATATGCTATAAAGAAGATACAAATATGAAAAGCAAAGTCATTGGAAGGTTTTTGAACCTCTTCTCTAAAAGGGAATTGCAATAAGCATCTCAGTATTTGGAGGGTTTTCTTAAAGTATCTCAAACAATTACAGTACATTATGGAACTGTAAACATTACTGATGCCAAATTATAGTTAGGTTTCTGTGACAGAATCTAATAAAGCATAGCCCTTCTGAACAGGTTAAAAAAAAAAAAATCATCTTAAGGTTCACCTTTTCCAGGGCTTCACAGCTCTAACTTAGGTTTCCTTTAATTTCAAGTACATGAAAACAACAAAAAACACCACTGAGTGGGCTCTGCAGTTAGAGAAGGAAAGGCAGCCAAAGGATGCTGAAGACAATGTACAAGCACCAGAACTTCAATGGAAATTTGTTTTTACTCTTAAATACCAGAAATATTTGTTCTAGAATATAATTATTTTACCAAAAGAGTGGTTTTAGTACTTAAAAACAAAGTAATTTTGAATTTCAAGGCATACAGCATTGATGATGCTAGCAGTAATTAACTTGAGGTCTAGTTCATAATCAAATATGAAATCATCATGGTGAACAAGATCTGTATGCTTGATCATTGATTTCCCTTTATGCAAAGAAGTATATGAACTGGGGGAAAAGATTTTTCTTTAAATTAGAATTTTAGATGCAGGTTTCACATGGCACTTGTAGGTGAAATAATGAAAGAAAGAAATGCGTGAGAATATCTGACTGAATCATGGCAGAAAGTCAAGGGAATGATGCATTGGTTCTATCTACTCCAGACCATTTGTTGAGATGATGGTCACTGCTAGAGTACTGTTTTAAAGGGCTACATTTTAATTGTTTGTATTCTGTGTTATCTCTCTTTTTCTATTTTTTTTTTAGTAGGCACAAACTGCTTATCCACACGTTGTATTGGCTTTAAAGATAAAGTACTGGTGGGGAAAAATAACACGGCTCATTGGGTAACCTATGAATGAGTGAAAACAAATATGTCATACTGTTTTGATCCTGATATTTTTGATCAAACATCTGGCTCTAGTGAGGTCAGTATTCCCATTCCAGGGCCAATATTGCATTCCAGGGAAACTGCAGTGGTTGTTCTCAGCTCTGGGGACATTACTGTACAGAAACAGTCACAATATTTGTCCTGTTTACTCTCCAAAAAACAAATCCTCAGTCAAGTCTCTGTGACCTCACTGTAGTAATTCTGTGACTGGCCTTTGGCTCCTTGTTTGAAACTTCAGGAGGAAAACATACTTTTTGTTGTTAGCACTTAGCATACTTTTTGTAGGTTAGCACTAATTAACAAACTATTTAACTAAATAACTAATTAACACTTGGAAAGGTGAAACCAAATGTGAAATGAGTCTTAGATAGGCAGGGATGTTCATTGTTTCAGTGACAGCTGTATTATCTCAAAAAAAAAAAACAAAAAAAAAACAGATTTTTGAATCCTTATGTTGGTCATTCAAGCAGGTTTCCCCTTTGCATGGGGCTGCCAATGTCATCAGATGTGTTTTTGAAGCAGCATTTTTTCTTCCATTGTTTGTAAATAAGGGCACACTAATTTCTTTACGCTTATTTATCCTTACTGGAGATAGAATCAGGAAAGACATTATCCACTTCTTGTTCTTGGAAGGATATTTACATTAAATAACAAATGGAACTGCAGTCTTGTAGGAAAGTAGATTTGGGGTTGGTTCTTTTAGTATTTGCTGCTGTTGAGCTTAAATTCCCCTTCTAGTTGGTGCAGGCCACTTATCTCCTCAAAGAAGTGGGCTTGGATGCCAGTACCTCTGATGTGCCATTTTCCATTAATATTCTGGTACTCCTGTTTCCTTCTTTTGGCATGAGTGCCACTGTGTGCAATGAAAGCTCTGCATTCTTGATTAAGAAATATGAAAACAGTTGTAAGCAACCCCCAGAAAATAAGTTGAATTAAGCTGTGAAGTCTGGTAGTTCAACATGAGCAAATGCACAGATACAGTTTCGTTCGGAAGTTTTATGTAAGTTAAAACAGTGAAGAGAATACACTCATGCTTTAGCTGGTCACAAACAGCAAAGATGGGATTCAAAATTGGGCATGACAGTGGTCTGTGTGCATTACAATTGCTTATTTCTTCATGATTTGAACTCCTTAAACAATAGCAGCATAAGAAAATGATGACAATTTTGTTCTGCCTAGAATTTTTTTTGACGTGTAGTGTCCTAGAGTTTAGTTTTGGAATATCACTGTTGAATATAGAAGTACTCATAACCAAAATCTGCTCTTCATGCACATGAATTCTCTTGAGGACTATCACGAGAGTGGGCTATGGGGTTTTTTTTGTTGTTGGTTTGTTTTTGGTTTTTTTTTGCTTCTAAGTGGCAGCACTCAAGTTTTTGTTGTTATTTGCCCTCCACTTTGCTAGTTTTTTGCCTTGCTATGGCAAATGGAAATGTTGCACTGGATCCTTTTTATTCATTCAGTTATAAAATAAGAGCAGCCAGCCCAGACGCTTTAGATAATTTTCAGGTTCTACACACACGGTTTCATAATAATGATTTGGAAAAGGTGGAGGTGATTGACTACATGTGACTCTTTCTGAGAAAAATAGTAGAAAGCAAATTGCTTAGAAACACTTCAGATATGAAAGAAACATGATTTTAAGTATTCTTTCACTTAATGTATATCCAAAAGGTAAAAGTCTTTTCTGTGTTCCAGATCAGCACTCTTTGAAAAGTAAAGATAACATATCACTCATGATATTATGGTGCTTTGCAGATATTTGCCTATTGTGAACAGTTCATCCAGACACTTAATGAATTAATATTATTTACTAAATGTAGTCATCCCAACAGTAACTATTTGCTTGCATAACCCTTTTTTAATGCTTCTGTATTAATGAAAGAGATGTATTATATATATTTAAAGAATAGTTTCAGTGGTGCCTACTACTGTTCCATTAGGGAAGGCTTTGTTAGCTATACAGCTACATGAGCGCCCTTCAGGAAACTTATTTTTCTGTGGCTATTTCTTAAGGTGACATGTAGACAATATTTCCATAACAAGTGACATTTGAAAACATGCTTTCATGTAAAAAACATATTATTATGTAAAAATATTGGTCCTCATTTTAACATGCTCTTAATAACAATGCAACAAAGACAACTTTGCAAAGAGATCTTAAGTGTTTTCCGTGCTCTCCACTGAGTTGTGATATAAGTTTTACCTGTAGAGTATGTTATATATTAAAAATTGGTACAGTTTTTTTAACTTCCTCCCTTCCCCCTACAGGAATAAGTAGTACAAACAGAAGCACTGTGTTTGTCTGGCACACACTTGGTAGCTGTGCCCTTTTTAATAGCGCTGATTTAGTTAGTGGTAAAACTTCTGATGTGGCTGAGATCTGGTTTTGCAAACAGCCCTCTGAGAACTTGGCCTCCTGTCAAATTCATATCAAAAGTAATTTTAGCAGTCTGCATTTTTCTCAGGAAACAAATTATTGTCAATTGCTTTAAATACAAAGTCAGATGGGTACTCACGTTCACATACAAATGTGTTACAGTTGCTTACGTGTAAACTTGTTCAGCTTTCTAAGTTGGCCTTGAAAGATAGAGAAAAGCATGGGTTATGATAATTTTAGACTTTCATTTCCTTAGTTCTTTCACTTTGTCAGTTTCACTGGCACAGCTGCCCAGAGAGCTGTGGGTGCCCCATTCCTGGAGGTTCTCAGGGCTGGGCTGGGTGGACCCTGGGAGCCCATTTGCAATCCCTATCCTGCTCATGGTCAGGATGGAACACACGCCAGCACAGGGGGCTGTGCAGTGCTAAGCATGTCCCATTGGAGCAGAACCGGGCAGGGGAGCTTATGGTAGCCACAGCTGTGGCTGCTCTGTGCTGGGTCTGCCTGAACTGCCGTGGGTGTTGCAGTCTTAACCGAGATGCTTGACAACCACTACCAGATCCTGGCATCTGCAAAGCCACCCTGCCATGTTATAGCTGCACGTGTTGAAAAAGTTGCTTGGCATGGTTAAAATTAAATGATGATTATTTTTTTAATTTCTTTGAAATGTTTTGAGATTAGCTTTTTGTATACTTCTAATAAAATCTAGCTATTAACTGTAACAATTTTCAACCCCATTAAATAATATCTAAATGAGGACTTTGCTCCCTTCACAGCTATACAAATATTCAAAAGCAAGCTTTGCCACTTCATCCTGTTCTGTGAGTCAGCTATGTGTGTGTCCAATGACTTTTGGCCTGGTTTTGGTTTTAGATGTTTGTAGATTGCCTGCATCCCTATGCCTATCCATATAAACCTCGTGAACTGGCAAGCTATAGTTGCCAGGAGTGTGCATAAATAGGTGTAGCAGAGGCCGTACTGCTAGTTATGTGAGCCTGGCTTGGGTGCACCTGCTGGTGCCTGCTTGGTCTGCTCCCACAGTGCTGAGCTTCTACTTCTAGAAGTGAGAACAGAATTCACTGCTTGCAGTTCAAGTGGAGAGTTAAGGGCTGATTTCCCTTTGGGTGTTCTGCTGTAGACCATGCAGACAAAATTGGGCTGCCAATAAAGGACTGAAATCAGAGTTGGAAATTGCATGGCCACTTCTGGAGGACCTTTTTCTATTGATAGTGACTTGGCACCTTACTCCTAATGAATCTTTTGGCTAAGTAGGCCTCAAACAGTCCCTTTCGTTCCAAGGCAAACAGCCCGTGTTGCACTGACATTTAAGTGTCCCCACAACACAGTAGGAGCAGCCAGCTGCGGTCTGGGCTTCAGTCAGACTCAGCAGTTCCCTTCCTTCCTCCCAAACTGCAGAGATGTGATCTGAGACAAAAAGCAGTGAAGTGTGGCCCCTGGAGACCTGCAATCAGAATAGTGCAACACTGCACATTAAAGATGCAACCAAATGTTGTGACAGTAAGTAAAAGGAGGATTTGCCTACACATATTTTGCCTTTTTTGGTATGTTTACCTTTACATTTTTTTCTGTGTACCTTTTTTGTCCGGTGCTATTGACTGTTTCTCTGCAGCATCTTCTGATGTGTCACAGCACAACAGGTGTCAAAAGGGACGCAGCAGTAGCCGGGTGGTCATTCTGACATCCCAGATGTCAGAATCATCCCAGTGTTCTAGATCAGAAGAGAGCATTTAAAATGTATGGAATGAAAAATGGTGCAGGACAAATGAATATAGTGTTGTTCAAAGATGTGGTAATAAGTTATTCAGTTTAAGAATATAACATACAGAACCGCATTCTTTCCTGCCTTGGTCACACGTTCAAGGGAGTAGTTTTACCTCAATGCAGAAGTAGTTATGCCTCCAGATACCCGTGTATTAAGATGAGAAAACACCCCTAAAAGTGTGGATAGTTACAGTATCCCTAAATTTGCCTTTCCTGATTCAGAATATAATGCATTGTTGGTGAATTTCATTTTTATTATTCCAAAATATATATTTTTTAAAAAGTGTTATTTTTCAACAGATCCATAAACTAAGTGTTGGTGTATGGTAAAATTAAAATACCACTGTTAGTTACACTGTGATTGTGATATTTTAATAATTACATATTTCTAATTTGTCTCAGCCGTGCTGCAGAAGCGGCATGCTGTTATGTTTTAAAGGTGTTTTTAACTTGCCTATAAATGTTTTTTTTCTAATTTGTGTCTTTAAATCTGATTAAACTGTAGTTAAAAAAAAAAAGTGAACTTGTTTTTCCAAGTTCTTTGGTGTCTGTCTGTTTTTAATTAGTGCTAGGAATGGTATCACGCTGTGTTTTAAAGCAGCTTCTCCTTTACAGATAACCAAACATTACACACACTTACATTGTTACTTGGGGTATTCTGTTTAAAAATTGCTTTCATCCCATGGGGCTTACATTCAAATATATACAAGTCACAGTTTCCCAAGTCCAGCTGCGTGTTAATTGGGAAATATACTTACACAACATGCAAATCTCCATCTCAAAGCTTCCTGCTACACTGTGCAGCGACTGCAGTTTTTTCCAGCTGGGAGCTTCGTAACTAACAAATCACAACCAGTGTTGTGAACAAGCTGCTTATTTAACTGCTGACTCCAAAGAAGCAGGATTAAATGTGTCCTGTGTGTGCGTGCTTCTTTTGCTGTTTGAAACTTCACTACGAGGGCACTGCTATGGTTGCTGTTGGCAGGTGATGGTATTTTAAAACATACAGATTCCTCGACCTGAAGTCTCTTTACCATGCAGATTAACATAGATTGTTATGGAAAAGAAGGTATATTGTATGCCATTATGACACAAGTTCCCACGACTTCCTGTCTAATACTGACTCATTCCCTCTCTTCTCTTCATCAGGTATTAATGCTTCAGAATGGACCTTTTAATGCCAGTGTAATTTGCTGAAGAGGTCTTTACAAGGATCTGTTTTTGCAGGTGGTCCCACCTTAGAGCAGCACTTAGAGCACGTGGCTGCCCTCTGGAAAGACCCTGCTGTGTTAATGATATTAAAATGCTGCGTTCAGGCTTTCCTTTAGGAAGCTGTATTGTGGGAGATAACAAGCACTTGCCACTTCCACACAGGACTACAGATACAGCTGAAGAAGCTCCAATGACTTGTCATTCCAACCAGAACTGAGATACTGCCATGGAAATTGCCTTCTCAGCTATGCGTTCACAATGGAGTGGGTCACGGGTATGAACAACATCACCATGAACTAAAGGTTTATCGCTGCATCTAGTGAGAAACATTTGAGCAGACAAAGATAAAATACAACTGCTGAGATTTATTGGTACACCCAATTATTCTTACAATGAAAAACCGTGACTCCATGCCTTAAGATACTGAAGAAAATGTCCTGATTCAGGGCATCCTGGAGACACAGATATTATCCTGTGCCAACAGTGAACCTTAAATTGCCCTAGTAACTTCCTGATAACAAAGCAGGACGTTTTAGTGCATAATGCAGAAGCAGTTTTAGGGGAAGATATCTTTACCCTACCTGTTAAATTAGAAGTGGAGACGTGTACCCTCGGTGGGGTTTGCAGTTCTTCCTGGGATGGTTGTGTCTAGCAGCAAAATAATTTTCTCCATGTGGGTTATTCGTTATCTTTCCAAACTCAGTTAACTAGCAGTAAAGGGAATCTCTGCATTTTTTATTGTTATTCTGCTGCCATAAGAAACACATTTAAATATGAATCAAGTGTGAGATATACAAAAGGCTTTTATGACTCATACTTAAAGCAGTGTTTTCTCAGAAAGTTCCCAATGGGATCCTAAATTATTTGCTTGATAATTAATAACTTAATTCATGGGGGGATAATTCCATGGCAGCTTTTGCTTTGTTTGAAGCATGTTGGCCTTTATGGCAAACCTTTTTGCTGTGCCCCCAGTCTCTGCTTTAAGTGGGTAATATCTCTGCCCACAGAGTCCACCTCACAGCAGCCTTTTCCCATCATAATGCTTTGGTCAGAAGACTAAAATATATTTGCCAAATGGCTGCAATTTTGATCAGTTTAAGTTGAAGAAGTTAGAAGAAGGAAATAAAACAGTTTAAGCATTATAGTAATTATTATTAGTACAATAATAAGATTATTAATGATTAAAGCACAGTAAAAATCTATAATTTTATACAAATTATTCCACCGAGTCTCATTTGTTTCTGAGCTGTTAATTGATCTGGTGTTAGGTACTGATTTGGGATAATGTCAGGTATTTAAACCAATACCTTCTAGGTGTGCAAGGAAACTTAATTACTTTTTTTTTTCAAGTAGGTTTTGATGGTATGAATGACGTTACTGCAGAATGCAGAAGTCTGTCAGAGGGGGGATTATGAATTCTTCAAGTCATCTGTTGTGAGTTCTCACATTTCTCTCTCTTTCTCCATAGGTTTTGTTGGGGATTTGTTTTGGTGTTTGTTTAATGAGGCGTTCAGATGCCAAAAATCCCAGCCCCCAGAGGCCACTCTTACTATTAGTGATATGACAAGTTTTAGAACATAAAGACAAAAATTCAAATGGGAAACAGAGCACTCCAAGTGAAATTAAGATTTTTCTAGATTGCAGCTTGAACCCCTCAATAGGACCATATTACATCGTCTGTGTGAATTCACTGATGGGAAAATGTTGCTCATGTCAGGGTAGGGTGTGAGTGGAAGAGCATGAGACAGAGTTCTGCAGTTCCCCAGCTGAGATCAGCAGGCACGAGCATGTCAGGAGTTGAATGAGCTGAGTGAAGGGGGGAGAAGGTGAAGTGCAGACAGCAGTGCCTTCCCTGCCTCCCCATCACCAGCACATACAGGGCCCTCGCATGCAGGAGCTGCTGTTCCTGTTTGTAGTCACGGGGTGAGAATATAGCTAATACCTGATGCGTGGAAAAACTACGGTAAAAGAATAAGGATTTAGATTATGATGATACAAAGTGAGATTAATATACTCTGAAAAACAGTATTTTGAAAATGTTTGAAAATCCATAGATCTCATGGTGCTCCGTTTCTTGAAACATCAGGACCGCTGCTCCTTGAGCAGTAGTCCATGGGCATGAATTTAAGTGCAGTGCAGTGAATGCTTTCTAGCTCAGCAGTAACTGCAGGGATTTGGGATCTTTTCGTATTGCACATCTGTTACATACAGAAGAATGTGCTTTGGGCCTTTCACTGCTCCCAGTTTTTCAGCTGAACACATCCTTTGGTGCAGACCTAAGCGGATACAACTTCTAATCTTCAGAGCTTGCTCATTTTTTCTTGTATTAACAATTTTTGTGCATGTAAGGTACTCGTTCTATCTGAATATGAGGAAGTTCTTAATATAATTGAACTCCTTTAAAAGGCCAGAGGAAGAACTTGCAGTCACTTTATGGTTAAAGGTATTTAGGACATACGGGATGCACTGTGCATGTTTCTGCAGGAGGCTAACAATTATGTTTCCACAAAGGGATGGAAGACCTCAGTGTGGTGAAGATTCTAAGTTGACACTTTGGGAACTGGTAACCTCAGAAATATGACTGCATCCAGGTCTGGGACCCCCAGCACAAGGAGGACACAGCTTTTAGAGAGCCCAGAGGAGGGCCACAAAAACGATCACACTGCTGGAGCACCTCTACTATGAATAAAGGCAGAGGCAGCCGGGCTTAGTAAGCCTGCAGAGGGCTCTGGGGAGACCTCACTGGAGCTTTGGGTGCTGGACCTGCTCAAGTTGGGTGGGCCCTGGGCAGCCTGAGGGGGAGGGGGGCAGCGAGCAGGGCAGGTGTCGGGTGGGTGGGCTGTGAGGTCCCTTCCAACCCAACCGCTCTGTGATTCTGGTTTTTTGCCACCCCAACTTTAAGCTCGTGTCCGCGCCTGTCGAGGGAGCTGTTATTACTGCGGTCAGTACTGAACTAAACGAATCCTGTAACCAAACACGTCTGTTACCATGGATCCGGACAGTCCCGGGGATGGCTTCTGACAGCCACCACACAGGTTGTACACAGAAAGCACGGCCTGAAGCGCCGTCATTAGCGTGCTGAGGAGACCCGCTGCAAGCAGCGCGGGAAGCCGCAGCCCCGAGGCCCGGCGGCGGGTTGGGCACAGCGGCTGTTAAGGGAAGGCTCCGGGGCTGAGCGCGGAGGTGCGGTGCGGTGACTCAGACCCGCCAGGGCTCCCGGGCAGGCTTTTCCGAGCTTCGTGACGATCCCTTTAGAACCGCTTATTAACGCGCGAGCCCCGCGGGGCCGTTCAGCGCGTGCGGCGCCCGCTAGCGGCGCGTCCCCGTCCCCATCCCTGTCCCCCGGGCACGGCACGACCAGCCCCGCTGCCCCGGGGCGCGGAGAGGGGCACGGCTCGTCCGAGGGCGGCGGGCGGTGCCGTCTCCCCTCACGTGACCGCCAGGCAGACGGAGGCAGGCAGACGGAGGCAAGATGGCCGCCGCGGCCGGGGGGAGATGAGAGGCGCTCGGAGCCCTGCCGCCCTGTCACAGCTCGCTGGGTCGGGGTGTCCCCGCACGGCCGCGCCTCGCCGGCTTCGGGGTGAGTGGGGCGGAGACGGAGCGGGGCAGAGCTGGGGGGGCGGGAGAGGCCGGGAGGGCTCTGGCTGCCGAACAAAGGCGCGGGGCGCGGCGGGGCCGGGCGCTGGGCGGCGTGCGGGGCTCGGGGGAACCCGTTAGGCTCCTTCCGGGAGCGAGGAGACGGAGCGTGAAAGGAGGGCTTTGCCGTCGGGTCCGGGTGCCTGGGAAAACCCTCGTGTTGGTACGGAACGGCTGTTTATTCTTTGTTCTGCAGTAGCGGCTATTTAAAGTAACTTTGTGATTGAGAAACGTGCGTCTGGTCAAAACACGCTGCGGCCGCACCCGCTGACAGGCGGCAGCCCCGCTGCGGGCGGTCCGTGCCGCCGCCTCCCTCAGCTCCCGGCCGGGCGCTGCCGAGGAGAGCGTGTCGGGCATGGCAGCCCTGAAGGGTGGTTTGGAAGACCGAGCGTGTTCTGTTTTACAGGAGAAGTTGATGTATTTATTTATTTATTTATGTTCTGGAACACCTCACTGTGCGCTGAGCGTGTTCTCGTTCTGCCTTAGAGGCAGAGCAGTTTCTTTGCTGAGGTGTAAAGCCCGTTGCCAGCTTTGGGTTTTAACCTGCAGTCTGTATTGTCTTTAACCACGAGTCTCATCTCTGCGGTATTCGGCACCTGGAGAGCCTGAGGTGGCGGAGGCTGGTTGGGATGGTTTGCTTGTTTGCAGCTTCCCTGTATTTCCTACTCTCCAGAGCTGGAGAAATAATGCGGGTGCTGGTCATTTACAGAACCTTTCTTCAGGTTTCTTTCTTCCTCTGGCTGCCAGAAGTTGGTATTTTAGAACCTCATTTCAGCTGTTTCAGAAACGTTATTTAAGTAAAATCTTGGCAGTCCTATAGAAGGAGTACTTAAAGCTATTGATCGCTTCATGTCGTGTTATGTCTGGCTTGTCAGCTATTCTGATGTTTATTAAATACGTATGTTAAGTAATAAGGTGTTATGAAGGATTGATAATGCGGTTGAGAGTGACACTATTTCTATAAATCAGCAAATTTTTGCAGTCTTTCCAAAGCAGTGATAAAGTGTGCTTCAGTGCTGGAGGGGAGAGGTGGTTAATCCAAACCCAAACAGCTTAACCCTTGTGCAAATGTTACCTTCATCTGACCCTCTGTGCTCTGAATACATCTTGTCCTCTCTTGGTTTGTTCTCTGTGTCCAAAAGCACTGGGCTGTGCCATCCCTGGGCACTGTGAGCATTCCAAGCTCAGAAGGTTGGATTGGGAATAAGGAGGTTTGTTGGTTGAGAACTGGCTGGCATTAGTGGGGGAAATCGGAGTGAATCTGTATATAGTTTTCACATAGGTTCTTGGATTTAAATGATGGAAGCTTGGGATTGTGAAAATACTTGCTCTATGTCCGAAAGCAAAATAAATGCTTTAAATTGGGCCTTTATGACTGTCTGTGTATTGGATGCTTTGAGGATTGGCAGGGATTAAGTTCTCAATCTCTCTTCTGGAAAAGGAAGTGCTGTTGACGTTTGTGCTGGCAGTGTGCATTTCTTGCTGTATGACTGCGTGCTTTAGGAGCCTCGCTGTTGGAGAGGTGTTGTGCTTCAACACAGAATGAACTTATTTTTATAGCCAGGGCCACAGAATCTTGATCCAAAGCATTTATGGTAATTTAAATCTAAAGCATTGGAAGAAACCCCATCTTACTGCCGATCACCCGTGCAGACCGTGCATAATTTCCGCAACAGTAATTAATCTTATTACATAGTAAGGTGGGCCTTGCTTGTTGGGCTCCACTTGTGCTGAGTTGCTGCTGTGAGTTAAAATACCATGCGTAAACTTCAGCCAGGCATAAACTTAAATAAATAATAAATTTCAGGCACATTTATTGAAGTAAGTAAGTAAAAAAAAAAAAAAAAAAAAAAAAATCAGGTTGTGTTTTTATAATGGATGTTGCTGTTCTTCTCTAGAGTCCTTTCCTAGAGCCCTGTGGTGGCCTTGGTCTTCAGGAGCTCCAGAAGCCTTGCCTGAGAAGTGCCATATGAATGTACGGGGTGTGAAATCCAGGGTTTTTATGTTGGATTTCATTGTTCTTAATTTATAAAGTGGACCATTACCTATTCTAAGAAGGGTGTGCTTTGTGACAGTGAAGCGTAAGGAAGACTGGTAGTGTCATCCATAGAGATGGCTCACCCCAATGGCTTTCCTTACGTACAGACAGGGAATATTAATGTAGGCTTTGCAGAAGCAGCTCCAGGTTCGTGTTTTAGTGTGTTGTGCTGTGAGCCAAAGGTTTCAATTGCACCTGAGGGCTCTTGCCAGAGGTGAGGCAGCAGCTGTGCATCCATGATAGCTGAGAGTTCCAGCAGCATCGCTGGAGCAGGAACTTATCTGTAGGGCAGCAGAGCTGCCTTTGCCTTTCTGAATTAGAGCAGTGAGGAACATGAAGCAAAGAGCTCCGCTTTGAAGCAGAAGGACTGCTGAGTTCTTTTTTTCCTTTTCACGCCAGCTGAGAATTTACTGACTGAACTTTGATTGCAAATGCATTGTGTAATTTCTCTGTGAGACGTCGCAGTTGTGTTTTGCGTGTGATTTTAAACATATCCCTCAGTTTACTGTGTGTGGACAGTAGGGCGAGAGCTAAGGCTGCAGGACAGAGCTGGAGTGCTGCTCAGGGGGAGTGAGAGTGAGAGGCAAGTTGGGTTGTATAGGCTTCTGTCAGAATGTGTACAAAGGACAGGAGGAATGTGAACATCGAATGGCATTTTGATTGTCTGAGAAGCTCTGTGCCATTGGCACAGGGCTGGGAAGGAGGTGTGCTGTGCTGGGTGCTGGGCAGGAGGCTGCTTCTGTGGCATTTCTGTAGCTAAAATGACAGTAAGTACTCAAGTGCGGGCACTGAATCCCTCTAATCATTCTGCTTCTTTTCAGTCTTCCATTTTTGGTGTGCTTTGGTGTTTTTTTTTCTTTTGTTAAGCTTACAGCCCCTCAATTAGCTTTTCCTCCTACCAAAAACATACACCACAACCCAACCAAACAGTAGGAACAACGAAACCAATTGCATGCTCCCACTGCTGTGCTGCTGCTCACCCCCCTCTGCTCCATGGTACTGAGCTGTGTGCTGAACACACCATGCCTTTTGGTTTCTGACTTTTCTTGTGGGAGGGCCCGTGTGTTTGTGCAGTGCCTACAGAAACTGGGTGTTGTGTGCCAAGTCTGGGCTTCTTTGGAACAGATTTGAGGTTTGGGTCTTAAATAGTGTCTGAGTCACCATTCTGGCTGTTTGGTTCATATATTTTGCTTGGCACGTGGAAGTCTGGAGAACTCAGGTGCCTAAATCTGCTTTGGAATTTGTTTCTGAAATTGCAGCCTGGATTTGAAGCCTGGTTTAAGGGTGTGATTTACATTCCTGCTTCTCCTCTCTTCTCCCTTTGTTCTGCTGTACCTACAGTTTACGTAGCTTCACAGCAAGTCTTCTGTTCCTCACTGTTGTCTCTTAACCAAGAGCACTCTCCCATCTTATGTGTTAGCGTGTAGTCAGTTGACAGAAGCCGTGTCACGTTTGAGTAGGAAGTTGACAACGTGCAGGCATGTCTGGATCAAGTTGCTGAAAACTTGCTTGATAAATGGTGCTCTTCAAAGTCCTGTGTGACTGTAATTCAGATTATTATCACTATTTAATAATGTTGAGTGGTCTCGTTGTTGTGCTCATCTCCATACGGGTTGCACTGTACACAACTAGTGTGTATGTTGCATGTATCTGTAGCCTGTACAGGTATTCCCACAGTGTTATGTATGCAGAAACATTTACGTGCGTGAAAGACTGCTGTGCATTGCATTCATAGTTCCCATTTGGCCAGTACCTAAAAAATGGAATAACTTTTGTTGCTGAAACCCAGAGAAACTATGCAGTTGCCTTTTCACTGTAATGCAGCATGTTTGGTCTCTAAAGTATTTTATTTAGGAGAATAATGGAGCTTGGTACATGACTGCTGATGGATTACATGTACAATTTGTTTTCTAATGTCAGAATTAACTCACAGCATTTACTCATGCTTTATTTATTATTTTTTAAATGCAGATAAACTTTGTCACAGAAGCGTTCTAAATACTGTGTGAAGATGGCAAGTCTGATGAATCAGAGTCTGCTGACCTATGCAGAAGAAGGAAATGTTCCTGCTCTGAAAGCACTGCTGGAGAAGTGCAGGGATGTAGATGAGAGAAATGAGGTACGGTGATATTTGAAAAGGTTGTTTCATACTGCAGCTTTTTTAATTAAGTAATGAGTAGAATCAGTGAGACCACACTAGTAAATATAAAAATGTCAGCTTTATTTTCAGCTGTTTGCTTACCTTTGCACAGACTGAGCACACAGTTCCGTGTCTGTGAGCTCTCCAGCATCCTTAGTTGTAATTGTTTTCTCAGTGTTCTTCTGAGCTGGAAAATGCAGGTCTGTCCTTACTTTGTGGATGGAGATGCTTCCTGCAGCTGGCAGTTGTTTCTTAGTTCACAGAGGCAGTTATGTGTACCTCATAGCTGAGCTCACTTCATGGTTAGATCAGGGTGCTCATGGACTTAGCAGGGAAAAATCGGGAAGTGCTAAGGATGGAAGTCCTGCATCCCCTCAAGTCACCATTCCAGCGCTTAACCACTTGTTGCTTAGAAATGTTTCTTCTGATGTCTTTGCATTGGAGAAGGTAATTTGTGAACACAAGAATGGTTTGCTTCAGTTTCAAACCCATGAGGAAGGTTTGTGTCGGGGAAACCACACACTGCTTATATGCATCAATAACAGGAGTTTTGTTTAAATGTTAGCTGCTCTTTGGAATTCAACAGCATTGAGCGCAATTCTATTTCTAGTTTTGGACTTGCCATGACCTTCTCTTCCCTCTCCCAGGAGTTGGGTAAAAACAGAACAACAGAACAGAATGCCTGCCAGCCCCAGGAGGGCATGTCTACAAAGACTGCTGGCAAGGCAAGGCTTGTCGGTGCCAGGACCTCCCTAGTGGCAGTGACTTGCCTGAGGGGGAGCTTTGGAGAAGTAGGCCTTTCCACAGCTTCTCATTGACAGCTGAAAGCTGGGATCTGAACTTTATAATCTTCACTAGTTTGGGACCTTTTATTTTTTAGTATATATGCATAATTTGTGTCACTTCTCAATGCATCGCTTTTTACATGTCATTTTAATTTCAGAATGGCCAGACTCCACTCATGTTGGCTGCTGAACAAGGCAATTTAGAAATTGTCCAGGAGCTTCTCAAGAAAGGAGCTAATTGCAACTTGGAGGATGCAGTAAGTATTAGCACTGTTAGGTACTGCAACTTACCACAGAGGGAGAAGAATGCTGCTGCTGATTTTTTTTTTTTTGTAGGGAATTAGTACTGTAAAAAGGAATTACAATGATAGTGTTGGCTGTCATTGAAATAAGAGAATGGGTAAAATAGAGAAATACTGCGTCAACAAAGAGTTGATATCCAAGTGATTCTTCTTGTGGCATTAGTGATGTGGTCTGTTAGGCTTGTTTTTTGTTTGGTTTCTGTGTTTCTCAGTAAGTATTGAGAGAGAATTTAGGTTAAAGGATTATTTCACATGAAAGCCAGAACAGAGACAAGTAGAAAAGAGGACCCGCAGCCACCTGAAGTAGCAGCCAAAGGAAGTCTGATCCCCCCTGAAGCAGGATCACAGATACAAGAGGCAGGGCACTGGTCCAGACTCCCCTATATATTAGCTCCTTGGGTGTTGGCATTCATTGTATGTGGAAACAGACCACCACCATTTTTTGTGTTCTTAGTCACTGTCTGCTCCTAGCCAGCAGTTCTAAGTGACTTTACATTATTCAGTTATTCTTCTTAGTTTTGCTTCCCCTGTAAAAGTGTTAAGAAATTAATCTGTAGTGAAGTGAGGAGTGGAGGCTGATAGGAGAAGGGAGGAGATGATTTGCAGTCTATAATTCCAGTTGTGTAACTGTCAAGGTGCTTACAACTTTTTACGTACTATTTTAAAAGGTAATTTTTAAGAAGTTGTGCATTTTCTGTTGTGCAAATTTACACTCAAAAAACAATGCAGTAGTTGTTATAATCTTGTAGTATTATGCCAGTACTGTAATACTGAATATCACTTATTATTTTTCCTTTTTTAGGATAACTGGACAGCTCTTATTTCAGCAGCTAAAGAAGGACACGAAGCTATCATAGCAGAACTTCTCAATTATGGTGTCAATTTGGAGCATAGGGATTTGGTATGTGTTGTCCTAGTGTAACACCAAAAGATTCTGTATTTTAGTGACAAAAACAATATAGAAAGTTAGAAATGTTCAATTTATTAAGAACATATTGATCTTTTATTCTTCTATTATGTACTGTATCAGTGCTGTTGTAATGGAAAATATTTAAATAGTGTTATCACAGTATCACAGTGGTTTTCTTGTGTCTCTCTTACTATTCTTTGGTCAGTATTTTTGTAAAATGTTACTACTTTAGGTTAGATATTAGGAGGAAGTTTTTCACACAGAGGGTGTTGACGCACTGGAACAGGTTGCCCAAGGAGGCTGTGGATGCCCCATCCCTGGAGGCATCCAAGGCCAGGCTGGATGTGGCTCTGGGCAGCCTGGTCTGGTGGTTAGTGACCCTGCACATAGCAAGGGGGTTGAAACTAGATGATCATTGTGGTCCTTTTCAACCCAGACCATTCTATGATTCCTTTTCAGAAGCTGCTTCTTTGTATATGCTTTTAATCTGTGCAGCTGTGCTCACCCATCTAGCAGGCCTTGTCCTCAGTATGCTGGCACTTGATTTCATTTATCTTGCTGAATTTTTAATGTGAAAAAGTGAATGTTACAGTCCCGTCCACCTGAAGAATTGGGGAAATTGCTTGCATGTTTAATGAAGAAGATTAGATTGCTTGGTTGCTAGTTTGTAGAGCTACAATCATCTCTCTTGACAGAAGAGGAAGCTGGATGCCCCTCAGAACTAGTTTTGTTCTGCTTAAGTTGGGAAACCACTAAGAGACTTGAAGTGCTTCCCTTAATTGCAGTTTCACCCTGAAGAGTGAGGCATGCTGCCATGCCGTGCTTTTTCCTAATATTGCAATGGTGGTCACGCCTGCTTGGCAAGCACTGTGTTTCTAGGCCTGTGTCAGTCTGAGAGGGACCTTGACCTCTGAAAATACCTATTAGAGAGTAATAAAAATTGTGCTTACAATTAACAGAGGTACACAGTTGTTTTAAAGGTAGCTTTGGTTACCTGACCTAACACATGCCTTAGACGATGAAACCTCTTTGTTTCCATGCTTACAAACTGAAATGACCATATCTGTAAGGTTTGTAGCTAACTGCTCTTAATTGCTCTCTTAAAAGGACATACAGCATCTGTCAGGAAGGAGGGAGCCATTACATAGTTACTTTTGAGTAGGACATGTAGGTGTCTGTTAGACAAATAAAAAATAAGCCCTTCGTGTTAACTGATTTGAATTTTGGCCTTTTGTTTTAAGGTAATTCATTGTTTTTGATCTGTCCAGTCATTGGTTTGTATGCACTTTAAGTCTGAGTGATGTGTTTACAGAAAATCAGTAATGTTTAAGGTGCAGTATTCTGCCAGGCTTTGCATACAGCAGGAAATCAGCATTTGCACACGTGCATTTGTAACTTAAGTAAGGTTATAAGGTTGTGCAGTCAGTCCTTGTTATGTTTTGGACTTGAAGAATGGCAAGTTAAGTAACAGTCTACAATTAGGTTTCTAGAGAGTATTTTTCAATGATGGTGTCTGTTTGAATTGTCCTTGCCAGGGAGGATGGACCGCTCTGATGTGGGCTTCGTACAAAGGCCGTACTGAAGTAGCAAAGCTGCTGCTTGAGAAAGGAGCAAATCCAAACATCACTGGCATGGTAAGTGTTTGCCTTAAGAACCATCTATTTTCTGTTCCTCAGCAAGATGTTGAACATCTGGAATCCTAATCTTACCTTGATTAGCATCTTTGACAGTATAATGTTAATCATTGTACTTTATTAATGGAAGTAATTGTTTTGATTTGGTATGGCAGCCACTGCTTTTTAATTAAAGTAATTAAATGAATACCTATTAGTAAGATTCAAATCAGCAGGAGAGGAGATAATAGAAGAAATCAGTAGTGTATGTAATCTTGCTTGCATAACCATTGTCATTTTTCTGCATCTGTGTATGTTAATGGAGTAACTAATCTGTTAGGTTTAAAACAATTTGTTTTAATTGTTCCATAAGTTATCAAGTGAACTAGATTATAGAATTATGTGCCATAATTGTGAGACAGAATTGTGTAGTTAGGATTTTGAGATTTACTTCAACTTACAAACATTCATACTAAAAAAATATATATACATGCATCTTGACAGGTGATTTCTTGACATTTGAATGACAACATAAGCAAGTTGGTGGCTGATGCAGTAATGACTGCTAAAGGGAAAACCAGTAGCCACTTCCCTTTCTGACTGTGTCCCATTCTGATTCTTCTTTGAGTATGGAGCTTCTGCATGGCACAATTGATCTGCACTGTTGATTACTTAGGGATAAAGCATAACTGATTTGATTTTTCTCTTCTGTTACAAATGTGAATGTGAATTTTTAAGCCTTGTTTAAGGAGTTACAAAATTGTTTCAAAACAGCGGCCTGCTTTTAGCCGTCATCTAGACAGTGTGCTAGGAAACATCATATATTATTACATCTATTCTGTATATTCCTTCTGCGTGTTCATCACCTCCTAGAATACTGTGATCAATACTGTGTTTGAAAAATTAAAAGCAGTGTTGTTTCCTGTGGTTCATCCTATATTCCTTTCCTTCCAAGCAATACAGTGTTTATCCAATTATTTGGGCAGCAGGACGGGGCCACTCAGATATAGTACATCTCTTACTGCAGCATGGAGCTAAGGTGAACTGCTCTGACAAAGTAAGTTATGCTTTTGTAAGGTTTCATTTCATTAATGATTGGTACATTTCTTGTAAAAATGAATGTTCTTTGCCTGTAATATCTTAAAATGATTGTAGTAGTTTAAATATCTATCCATCTATATATAAATGTGTCAAGTAGTTCAATGCTTGAAGTTCTGTTTTGCCCACGAGCTTAGGATTAGTGTAATTGAGTAAGCCATTATAAATGCAGGAAGTTTTTCCCTAGGATGCTGAAGATGGCTGTGAACACTTGGTTCAGTGGAACATATTTCTGTTTTTTAAGCCATTGGTTGCATAGACTAATAGCTTTTATTGCTAGAATCTTTAGGGAAAAAATTTAGTGGCTTTTCAGATTCATATATTAATTTTTATAATGAAGTTTTATCTTTGTAGTAGCAAATGACTTAAGTATAGGATGAGTACTAAAATGTAGAAGATACTAAATATGACAAAATGTTTTGCATTACTTTTACAGTATGGAACCACCCCATTAGTTTGGGCAGCTAGGAAAGGCCATTTGGATTGTGTGAAATACTTGCTGCAAATGGGAGCTGATGTTGATCAAGAAGGAGCTGTAAGTAACTGCTTGTTTTCCAGTGAAAGATGGAGGCACGTACATCAGTGCTATTAACATAGATTCAGATATTTGCAAATGCAAATAAACTTAATTCAGCATGCCTTTTGAAAATACTAATGACAGTTGCAACTTTTCAGATGTTAGGGTTGGCTGTTTTTTTTTTTTTCTTTTTGAAGTTTCAGTTGTGTGTTGTTTTATTTCTAATTAAAGCAGATTTCATTGTTTAGCCATTTAAATAACAAATAATTGAAAATACTGTTTCAAACTAAATAAGTCTGAATGGAAAATTATGTAGGACAGCTTTTGTTATTTGTATGATTATTTCTGAAGTTGGTATAAAAAAAATAAAAAGCCCAACTCTTTCTGAATGGTGTTGACATCCTGATAGTAGATAAAATGGGATGGATTTCAACCAGGACCACATGCTGGGTCCTGCACTTTGGCCACAACAACCCCAGGCAACGCTACAAGCTAAGAGAAGAGTGCCTGGAAGACTGAGGGAGAAATGGACCTGGGGCAGTTGGTCAGCATTCAGCTAAACATGAGCCAGCAGTGTGCCCAGATGGCCAAGAAGACCAGTGGCATCCTGGCTTGTGTCAGAAATTGCATTGCCAGCAGAAACAGGGAGGTGATCATCCCTTTGTACTCAGCTCTGGTGAGGCTGCGCCTCGAGTACTGTGTTCAGTGCTGGGTCTCTCACTACAAGAAAGACATTGAGGCCCTGGAATGAGTCCAGAGAAGGGGAACAGAAAGCTGTGATGGGTCTGGAACACAAGTCTTATGTGGAGTGGCTGGGAGAACTGGGATTCTTTAGTCTGGAGAAGAGGAGATTCAGGGGTGACCTTACAGCTCTCTACAAGAACCGGAAGGGAGGTTGTGAAGAGGTGGAGGTTGGCCTCTTCTACTGTGTAACTAGCAATAGGGTGAGAGGGAATGGTCTCAGGTTGCACCAGGGGAGATTCAAGTTGGATGTTAGGAAAAATTTCTTCACCAAAAGAGTGGTCAGGCACTGGAATGGGCTGCCCAAGGGGGCGGTGGAGGCACCATCCCAGGAGATGTTCAAGGAATGTTTAGATGTTGTACTGGGGGACATGGTTTAGTGGGAAGTATTGGTGATGGGTGGACAGTTGGACTGGATGATCTTAGAGGTCTTTTTCAACCTTGGTGGTTTTGTGATTCTGTGCTAATATGAAGTTCTCATATGGCAGGAAGGTGATTGCACAGTGCCTGTGACATTCAGGAGTTCAATTGAATTGAACTTCTCCATTTGCATTTAAAATGTTTTCTTGTTGTAGTGTTAGTATCTCTTTCCTTCTTCCCATTTTAGCTCTTTATTTTTTAGTACAAAGCATAAGCGTGGTGTATATGAACATCAGAATGTAAAGCTAAAGAAACATTTGGATCCCTAAAAAAGATGTATCATCGGGTATTCTTCTGTTATTTAAACTGATAGAGTGATGGGTTCTATACTGACTGTAAAACAAAATCTGCTTTGTTTGTTTACAGAATTCTATGACTGCACTTATTGTAGCAGTTAAGGGTGGCTACACCGACTCAGTGAAAGAAATACTGAAAAGGAACCCAAATGTGAACTTAACTGATAAAGATGGGAATACAGCTTTGATGATTGCGTCAAAGGAAGGGCATACTGAAATTGTGCAGGATCTTCTTGATGCTGGAACTTATGTGAATATTCCTGACAGAGTGAGTAAACTTTCTTACCGTTTAAATACCAGTGTATGGCATGCAAATTTGTGGGTACATTTTTTAATGTTTCTGCCACCTAGAGGTATTTCCATATATTGCAGTGTTACAGCTATTTGAAGTGCCTACCACAGGAGAAAGGAAATAAAATCAGTTTATAAAATGAAACTACCCAAAAAACTTTCTGCTAGTGTGCAGCTTTGGGGTGGTTTTTATGTATATTGGCATTCATGATTATGCTATTAAAATAGTAAATCAACAGATACTGGAAATAATAATATATTTCTTTCAATGCCTCCCCTCATCTTTAACATTTAAAAAAACATTTTATTAAGAAAATTGCATATAGAAGAGAGAGATTTCCACTAAGACATGTAGATGTGATTTCTAGATGCACTGTGTACCTCTGAGCACCTAGAGTAAGAATTACACTGGCCACTCAGGCCTTTTTTCAGTTGCTTACACAGATGTGCTTTGGACCGTTTGCAGTGCTGCCTTGAGTTCATTGTTCTCTGAAGTGGCAGAGGCAGCTCTGCAGCCAAGGGTGTAATAGAGGCTTAGATGCCTAAACTTAGGTGCCTCTGTCAAGATCGCTATTTTATTTCAGGGTAGTGACATGGTTTTAAGGTGTTGTTATCCTAAATTGTGTTCCAGTTCTAAAGTGAATTCCTTGAGGGTTGCAGAGAGGTGAGAAAAACCACCTTGATTTGCTGCATAATTTTAAAAGGATTTGTGGATGTTTTCCCATATTTCATGTCTCAGCTTTATGCATATTGTAGATGATTTTGTGCTGAGCTGCAGTACTGCATGGGACAAGAACTTTGTTCCAGACTACATGCCAAGGCAAAACTTTAAACGTTAAAGAAAATATATTTAGAATCTCCCTTTCCACCTTTTCTCTCACAAAATTCTACAGCTGTGTGTTGTTCTGTGCTTTTGGGAAGAATAAATGACAACTTACAGTGCAGATGACTGCATTCCAAAATAAGTCAGACAACAAGTAGTTCTACTTGTTGTTTTCAAAATCTACTTAAAAAGTAGATTTTGAAAAAGGAAAATCTCTTGTTTGGCAGCCACATGCATAATGATTGCAGTTGATAGAGGACCTGTTACAACTCAGGTTTATAACTGATTTCCACATCTGTGATTTAGCTGTACTTTCATTTATTTTTCTTGCTCTATGATAAAGTAATTATTAAAGAAGTCATTTCAGGATTTCACTTCCTGAAACGATGATTAATCCTTAAGCGTGTTAAAATGAGAAGCCTTAAGCAAAACTGTAACTTTTACATTTTTGTAACTCAATTTACCACAGCAAAATAACTTCTTTCAATTAATTTGAGCTGAAACCAGCCTTTGGCTGCTCTTCTCTCTTATGACAGAGTGTAAACTGGATAGCAGTCAAATCTGTGCACGCGTGCACACACACACACACCAGAGAAATCTTGAAAATCCTGTCATTTTTGAGTATCCAAAGGAGACAGGCAACATTCCAGACTGACTTTAAAGAGGTTATTACTCATGGGGATCAACTTTTATAAGGGCAGGTAGCAACAGGACAAGGGGAAGTGGTTTTAAACTGGAAGAGGGGAGATTTAGACTAAATATTAGGAAGAAATTCTTCACTGTGAGGGTGCTGAGACACTGGAATTGAGGTTGTGGATACCCCCTCCCTGGAAGTATTCAAGGCCAGGCTGGATGGGGCTGTGAGCAAGCTGGTCTGGTGGGAGGTATCCCTGCCCGTAGCAGGGGGTTGAAAGTTTTGTTTTGGCTGTTCAGGTTTTTGATCTGTTTTTTCATCTTCTAAAGAGTGCACAGGCACAATGCCTCTCTGGAGGCTGTAACTATTTTTCATGTTGACTTTCTTTTTTGCTGAACGGAGTTAATTCACCTTCAGTATTCTTCCACAATTTTTCCAGAGCGGAGACACGGTGCTGATTGGGGCCGTTAGAGGAGGTCATGTTGAAATTGTGAGAGCCCTGCTCCATAAGTATGCTGATATAGACATCAGAGGTCAGGTAAGTACAACAGTGTAAATGTTCACATCCTTCTTAAATAGATTGTGAATCTGGATATCAACTATACTACGTATCTAAAAACAGGGCTTTAATAAGCTTTTCAGATTCTGCTCTACAGGGAGCTCAAATTCCTGTCAAATGTTAGAAATGTCATGTTGCAGTGCAGTCTTAAAGATAGAGAGTGTATGTAACTGTAATGATATGCTAAGCAGAAATTTTTAGTTACTCAGCATAATGGTTGAAAAGCAAAGGGTGTAAACAGAACTTACTCCACCAGCACTGCTGGTGAAATAAAGGTTTAAACAGATTTAAAATAGTGTGAACTATTTTAATACATTTAATATTCTAATGTTTGGTACTTTTTATACTGACAACAGGGGTATCATATCAATGTAGTAGTAATAATGCTAAGCCAGTTATGTCCCTGTATTTGATTGGTTCCCTCTTTAACAAACATCCTTGCTGCAACAAGCAGTTATTGGCAGTGGATTCCATATTTTCTACTTGCCCTTCCTTTCCATTTTTGTCCTTTGTATGGGTTCTGTTTGTACTCTTCCAAAAAGCCTGAGTGCTGACTGAGTTCAGCACTTTTATTTTACGTTCAGCTTGCTTTGTTCTGTGGTGTTCTGGAAGCACTGCTGAGTTCTGCCTGGCCTCCTAGCCCATGTATTCTTTGTGCTCCATCCCCACAGACACTGGGAGCTCAGGGGAGACCCTGAGCAGATAGAAAGTGACTTCAGGGTTTTGTGAACAAGTGCTTGGGAAATGAAGAGGAGCTCAGGTGAAAGGCTTAGCTGTGAGCATCCAGTAGACCAGAGTCTGGCTTTGCAACTGATGTTAGCAAGGAATCAGCTTCCTCACTCTGTTGTCCTGTTGGAAGCTTGTGGTTGAGGAAGAGGTTGACCTGAGAGGAAAGAAATCTCAGTGAGCAGGCTTGTTAAACTGGTGAGAAAGGCTTTAAAGTCAGTTTGCTGTGAAGCCCAGAAGTGAAAGAGGAAGAGCTGCAAATGGAAAAGGCTGTAATGGCTGCTTAGAAGCAAGTTTGTGTTCAGAGTGCTTTCTTGAAAATGTCTCTACACAAATATGCATCTAAAAAAAATTAGTTGCAGTGCAGTTATCAGGCTACAAAAATGTCAGACCTGCAGTCAGAGGTTTCCTGGGTTAGTATGTATCACTGGGAAGAGGGGAAAGAAAACATAATGCAAGATTTGCAGCTGTCAGCCTTTCCTCCTGCTTCAGTGATGTGTTGCCTGATTGATCTGCATTCTGGTGCTTTGTGTTGACCTTCACGTCTGTTTACAGCTTTCAATGTGGATGTTATTCTTTTGTTTCTAAACAACCAGCCAGTCCCCCAGTACAACAGTTTTATTGGGTTATGCCATAAAGAAGAACTTTCCAAGATTTTCCTCTTTAAATGCTTCAAGGTGATTACTGCCTCTGTGTTCTAACAGGAGGGAAATCTTTTCAAACAGGAACCCCCAAGCAAACAAAAAACAGAGATACACAAATACTACATAGCAGGAAGAAAAAAAGGTTGTTTTAATTTGCTAGAAAATCTGTGTATTTGAGTTACAACTGAAAACCGATATATAGTTTTTGGAGATACATGTTTTGGGAGCTGTTTCAAGGCAGATTGGCTCTATCAGGTTGCTAGAGCACTCAAGATATTTTCTTCTGGTTTTTAGAATAGATTTTGTATTCTTTGGACAGATTTCCCCACAAGGTTCCATTGGTACCAATTAGAGTTGGTAGCATTTCCATTTGCCCTGAACTGTACTAAAATTTGCTGATTTGTGTGCTGTTTTATGTGTGATTGTATTTTATATATTTGTTTTGAAATTAATCCTATTGTATTGAAGTGCTACTTTTTTTTTAGGATAATAAAACTGCTCTATATTGGGCAGTTGAGAAAGGAAATGCTACAATGGTGAGGGACATCTTGCAGTGCAACCCTGATACTGAAACGTATACAAAGGTAAGTACAAGAGTTTTGAGAGTATGATTTGCTTTGTTTAATATCTCTCAATTCCCACATGGTATTATGATCTTAACATCAAGTTCAGTTTTTATGAAGTATGAATATCTTGTGTGCTGTTTAAAAATAAGTTATTTTTTCCTTCTTTCTGAAATGCAGAATTTCTTTTCAGTGATGTTAATGTCCACTTTGATCTCTTGCTAACTGAAACTATGAGTATCTGCCCATACTTTACCTCAGCACAGCTGACACTATCAGCAGCAAGCTGGTACTGGAAAGTCTGGGAAGAGCCTTCCGGTATTACTAAGCTTGGTTAAGTTCATCATTCATTGAATGAAAAAAAAAAAAACAACCTAAAAAAAAACAGGGAAATGTTGTTATGTACAGAAGTGTACATAACATTTGCCTCTCCTCTCAGATATCTTTCATTGTATCTCTATCCACTCCTTCTCTATTTGACACTTAACAGAAATGCATTCTGCACATGTGTTTTTTGCTGCTGTCCAATCGGTCTCTAATAGTGTCTGTGATTCTTTTTTGAGCACAGTCATACTGAAGGATCGTTACCTGCAGAATGACATTTATTTAGAAAATTATCACAACAGTATAGGATTTGATTTGTTACACTGTTACTGCTTTTTGTTTGTTATTGAGTATACAAGGAAGATTTAGTGTGTGTTTATTTCTTTTTTAAATTAGGCTTTTCTTTTATTTTCAGGATGGAGAAACACCGCTTATCAAGGCAACCAAGATGAGAAATATTGAAATAGTAGAGCTGCTTCTGGACAAAGGAGCGAAGGTCTCTGCTGTAGACAAGGTAAAGAATATTTATGTGTTCATTTACTTCAATATATTTAATCATCTTTGTTTTGCAACCAAATTTTAATGTGAACTGCTGAGGCTAAAACAGAAAAAGGTTTTATTGCAGTCATGTGGATGGAGATGTTTCTGTGTCAGGAATAAAAATTTCACAGATAAATACTGATTCTTAATATGCTCAAAAAAGAGTGTAGATATGGTTATATTAATTGCCAGTCTTTTTTTTAATTTTGATTATTAGCTACTAAACTAAGCAACGCCAAAGATGGATAACAATAACTTGTTGCTGACCTCTTGCTACCTACTTTGGTAAACCTCTTAAGTACTGGAGTATTTATTTGATGCTGTTGGCACCTCTTAGAACTGTCTTATATCGTAGTCATGGAAGTGATATTTTGGATTTGGTGTAATAAGGAAACTTCAAAGCTTTTTTGAGAGATCTGTGCAGACTTTGAAAGAATTCTCTTATTCTATCTCTGAATTTGCTAGCAGACACTTGTTTTCTGAATAGAGACTGCAGTTCCCATGAGCGTTGAAAGAAGATAATGCCTTAACTTCAGCATTATGAGGCCTTTATCTTTGCACTTACATATTTTTTTTTGAACTTTTAGAATACTTTTTCAAGGGGGGAAATGTTGGCTGTAAGGTTTAACGCTGTAAAGAGTTCCTTAAGGTGTATTGCAAGTAAATAATGCATTTGGAGGGATGTGGAACATATTTTCTATGATGGGATTTAGTAGGTCACGAGACTTAAGTAGGTCAGGTTGGTGGTCAAATGTAATAACCCTGAAGATCTTTTCCAACCTAAATGATTCTCCAATTCTATGACATTGCCTTTTCATCTTATGAATTCATGTTAGACGTTACTAGCTTTTTTTACTGAATTGCAGAAAGGAGACACCCCACTTCATATTGCTATTCGTGGAAGAAGCCGTAAACTTGCTGAATTGCTTTTGCGAAATCCAAAAGATGGTAGATTGCTTTATAGACCCAACAAAGCGGGAGAAACACCTTACAACATTGACTGCAGCCACCAGAAGAGTATTTTAACACAGATATTTGGAGCTAGTAAGTAAAAGTATTGGCCTAAGAGTGGTTAAACGCACCTTTTATTTTTAATCTTTGCACTGTGACATCGGATACTACACCATTGCTCTTAATCACTTTTACTTAAATCTTGGTTATGTAAGAATTTTCTTTTATTTGCTTTAATGTCGTTGGAGAATTTGTAGTACGCTGTAATAGTTTTGACAATTGTGTATCACTTCTATAGTTTTGATAACTGTGTAATGCTTATCTAGATGATCAACGTTCCTTCGAACAAGAATGTAACACCAATACTGCTGTGTTAATAACACTAATAATATTATATGAGAGGGTTATGCACACAAATATAGGTAAACCTGTTGTAATTTTGTGTATCAAAATTGTCATACTGATAGGATTTCTTAAAACAAAGCTCTATAACACAGTGTTTATTTTACAGGACACTTGTCTCCCACGGAATCTGACGGTGACATGCTGGGTTATGATCTGTACAGCAGTGCTTTGGCAGATATTCTGAGTGAACCAACCATGCAGCCACCTATTTGTGTAGGCTTATATGCTCAGTGGGGAAGTGGAAAATCTTTCCTGCTCAAGAAACTGGAAGGTAAAATTTAATGTAGCCTTTTCCGTTGGGTTCAGATACATCTATGGAAATCATCACATCAGCATGAATAGTTTTTGCAGCAGCCATTGGTTCATCTAGTGCTGTATCTGATCTATGTGCCACACCATAAATAAAAAGCAGTGTGCTTTTTCATTTTTGAGTGTGATGTTTGTTAACTCCTATGTATTCAGAACACTTTTCAGCATTTCTTTCCTGCTTGTTATTCATCTTTTCATTGTGTGGATGAAAACTTCTTGCACTCCTCTTTGAAGAGGAGTTATAACTGTATAACTATTATAACTATGACTTATAGTTTCTATTGGTTTTGGTCAATATTAGGGAGAAGTTAGTGTAGAAAAAATTCCTTCAATAAATGAGGATCTTTATAATAATTTCTGTGCTTTTTGGTCTAGAATGGTTTAACATGTTTACTGGTCTTTGTTTTTCAGATGAAATGAAGACTTTTGCAGGACAGCAGATTGAACCTCTGTTTCAGTTCTCCTGGCTGATTGTGTTTCTCACGCTTTTGCTCTGTGGAGGTTTGGGTTTATTGCTTGCTTTCACAGTGGATGCAAAGCTTGGAATAGCAGTGTCACTCAGCTTATTAGCAGTGCTCTACATTTTCTTTAGTAAGTCTGTTTTTTATGAAGTTTCTGATGGCTTTTGCTAAATATCTACTTTTAGCATTAGTTTCTGTTATGTAGATAAACTTTGTGTTTTAGAAGAAAACCTGACTTTGTAGGAAGTAGGACCTCCTTTGACCCTTTTCTTGTGTTTTGCATGTACTTTGTGGGAAGATGTGCTTGAAAACAGACAAAAACCATGCATATTAGCTTCACTATGTTGCTATTACCTTTCTCATTTCTGGCCAGAATTGTTGAAATTCTTAAAACTTCGCTCTATATCTGTATGTGAACTTCATGATTCCTTTCAGTTGTGAATTTTGACTAAAACAGACTTCTTTTTCCTTCTAGCTGTTATTTATTTTGGTGGTCGAAGAGAAGGTGAGAGCTGGAACTGGGCCTGGGTACTGAGTACAAGACTGGCAAGGCACATTGGATACTTAGAATTGCTTCTCAAACTCATGTTTGTGAACCCACCAGAGTTACCAGAGCAAACCACTAAAGCTTTACCTGTGAGGTTGGTTATTTCACTTAGTCTTGAATGAAGAATTCAGGTTTGCTCTGACGCTTTCCAGACTGCGTGTATTAATGTGTATGTATATTGTCCTGTATAAAACTGTTATGATTCCTGTTTGGAGAACAGCCATAAAGGATGATGCAAGTAAATTCTTGAGTGTTTAAGATCAAGAAACTACTGTGTCAAAGTACTGTTGCTACTCTGTGTCAAAGTCAGTGAAAGGTACTGCTTTTTGGTGGTGATGTGTAGTTGTTTTGTTGTTGTTTGTTTACTTTGTTTTTAATTAATTTGTGACAGAGAAAGGAAGAAGGTAGTAGTGGGCCATACCAGAGAGTTAAGCTTAATGCTTATTTCTCTGATTATTATTGCTAGGATATCTTTGTAAGATTTTTTTCCTTTTCTTGCTAGTAGAGCATCAAGCTGCTCAAAGCTTTTAGCTTACTGTAAGCACGAAAAAATTAGACTGTGTTTTGTGGTTTTGTATACTGCTGTCGTTTGAAGCTGTTATTTTAGCCCAGTGATGCTTTTATGTGATGTTCTTCTGTATTTTTTTATCTACTATGTTTGATAATACATCAGAATGTGACTTTAAAAGTACACATTGATATTTATTCTCTGGGGTTGTGAAGACATTTTTGTTTTTACTGCTGTCTGAACTACCATTATTGTTATCTTTGTTTTTATCTTTATTAATAAAGTTTTAGAGCAGGAAGTGGGCCAAAAAAGAAATTGATAATGGGATAAATGAGTATGTAATTTTATGTTAGAGATTAAAAAAAAAAAAAAGAAGAAGTATTTTAGATGGTTTCCCACTTGGAAGGAAAAACCAAATAAAAGAAATATTTCAGCTACTGATATGCAGGAAGATTTTTGCCTTGGTGGCCTAAAACTATTTCAAGCTTTCCAAAGTATATAACATGTATGTTTTTTTTCTCTTTCAGATTTTTGTTCACAGACTACAATAGACTGTCCAGTGTAGGTGGAGAAACTTCATTGGCTGAGATGATTGCTACCCTCTCTGATGCATGTGAAAGAGAATTTGGTTTCTTAGCAACAAGGCTATTTCGAGTTTTCAAGACAGAAGATACACAAGGTTTTTATTACCTGAGTGGCACTGATTATACCATTTCAGTGCACCGTTATTAGGGGTTCTGTTCCTCACAAGTTCTTGTTAGAAACTGCTGTAATCATGCAGAAGGGGAAATTCTCTTCATTGTCTTGGAGAGAAAAGCACCCTATGTTCTTTGTTTATCTTGATTTTATTAACAAATATGGTAAGATGAAATGAAGTATTTTTACTTGATCCAAGTGGGAGAAACTTCTTCTGTCCCATCTGCAGATTGCTGAAAAAAATATGCAGAACAGTGTGTGATGTTGTGAGGTAAAGGGGAATTTTCAGTTCGTAGAAAACTTATTTCTGCTTGGAGTTCTGTTTCAGTCAGGTACTCCTCATTTAGACTTGAATTTATCACACAGAGGAATCTGTGAGATGTCCTCTTTTGTCCTAAAACGAAATATTTCTTCTCTCCTATATTCTTCGGGGTGGAAAGCACATCCTGTGTGCCAAAACACAACTTGCTCTGCATTATTCTTTCATAAATTCACTTATGTTCTTTATCATACTGTTGCATGGATTTTTTTTCCCTTATTTCTGTATTAGACATTTTCTAGTTTGTCTCCTTCATTGAAGCTCTCCTTAATTTCAGCTTTTGTGGTGCTGTAATTTCACTGAAAGCAAGGTTTATTTTAGTGCTGGTTGTGATAAGTTGTAGTAATTGCCCATTCCCCTCACCTGCCCAACCTTTGTCTTGTGTTCCTTGGCTCTGCTGCCTTCTTGTACTCTTTCTAATTCTGTATTTGATGATCTTACTAAACCTCTCCTTGTCTCTAGATTTTCATAGACATTCCATATGGTTTTCTTTTCCTTTTCCTTATCTTTAACGTCTGTTATGTCTCTCCACTCACAGACATATTCAGTTGCCATTTCTTTGTTGATTTGTAAGTCTCCCTGTAATCCATTTCTGTCTCTTTCTATTTAGAGGAGACTTACATCCCTACTTATATTCACTTCTACACATCTTTATCTGAGCTGTTATGCTTTGCTTCTTGCCCTTCAGTCCTGTCATTGTGCATTTCTGTTGCTTTGTACTGCATCACAAACCTGTCAGCTTAGATCAGTAATGGGAAGACCTTTACAGCTTAAACCCTGGTCTAGAGTGTCATATGTGGTCTGAAATTCTTTCAGAATAGCTTTTTTTCATTGAAGTTCAAATACAGGTATTTTTTTTCTTAAATCATTTTCCATTAGACTATCACTGTATTCTGTTCTTTGACATGGACAAGTGTTGAATTTTTCTGCTTGTACAGTTCCCAAAGGCAGAAGATGCTGCTTTGGTTAAAACAAACAAAAAGCCTGTTTCTTAAATTGTTAGGTCTGCTAATCCTACAACTGCAATGTTCTCTTGTCTCTTCCTTATCAACCCTGTGTAAGTCAGCCTTCTCTGAGGCTCTTGTGATCATCTGCTCTTTATGTACTATGTGCTTGCGTTAGCATGCAGGATAGGATAAACCTAGGGCTGCAATCTCAAATTGTGGTTTGCATTTTTGAGTCATTTCTCCAAAGGAAAATGTTATTGGGTTACCTAAGGATCAGATTGCTGTTTAAAACCAGGTAGTTACTTCACCATTTGCCTAGAACTTGTAGAAATACACTTAACTGAGGGATGTCATAAAAGGGGTGATGCCATTTATGTGAAAGCTGCTTAATGAAGATTGTTTCAATCCAGTATGGATTTCTTGAAACAAACTGAAGATTAAAGAATTATCTCTGCTTTACGATTCCTGAGACTTATAGCAAATTTAGGTGATTTTTTTTTTTACTTTTGTAACTGAACAGAAAAAGTGCACTAACATTTGGTGCAAATTATTATAAGAAGTATGCAAGTTAATATATTTTGAATTTACCTGTAATGACATCTTATGTTCATTGTAACAAATACTTGTTTTCTAGGTAAAAAGAAATGGAAGAAAACATGCTGTCTCCCATCCTTTGTGATTTTCCTGTTCATATTGTCTTGTGTTGTTTCTGCGGTTGCCCTGCTGGCGATTTTTAATGTAGAGCCAACAAACATGACAGTGAATGCTATTCTGATATCAGTTACATGTGTTGTTGGTTTGGCCTTTATCTTGAATTGTCGCACGTGGTGGCAAGTGATGGATTCAGTTTTGAATTCTCAAAGAAAACGTCTTCACCATGCTGCCTCCAAGCTTCACAAGCTGAAAAGTGAGGGATTCATGAAGGTAAGTGTTTGTGTGAATTAGCCATTGAAAGAAGTGAACCCAACCCCCCCAACTGACTTTAGATGGTGAGAAGACTAGGAAGAATAATTTCTTAAACATTCTAAAGGTGAACCAAGGCTAAGGGTAATTTGTTACTTTAAAGCAGAGTATGTGCTTGCTATGTGCTGCTGTGTGTATGTTTCAGTGTGACTAGGAGAATGAACGTTTTGGAAGAGGGATTTTTAGGACTCTTGCACTTCTGGGAGGAATTTCAGTTTTTTATAAGCATTAATTTTTGTAAACTTAATGAAGTACTTTTGAGATAAGTAGCAATCTGTCAAAGAAATCGGTGCATTTTTTTTCAGATTGTTATAAACACTTAAATGTGTTTTCCTTCTCTGCTTTCCTTTTTTTTTTTTCTCCTTAGGTTTTGAAATGTGAAGTGGAGCTGATGGCCAAAATGGCAAAAACCATTGACAGCTTCACTCAGAATCAGACCAGACTTGTTGTAATTATTGATGGATTGGATGCTTGCGAACAGGACAAAGTTTTACAAATGCTTGATACTGTGAGTTGGATCGTTGTTTAAAGATGAGCTCTGGATTCTCTCTTCCATAGATGATTCAGATACATCCACTTATTGCATTTTCTTTAGAATGAAAGCATGTTTCATTCTAAAGAGTCTCTGTTGTGCTGTAGTTATTTTTAAATGTTTGTGTGCACAAACATAGCTGTAACACTAAGAGGAGCAGCTTTCACAAGTTGAAAACTACATCTTAGTGGCGCTGTACGTGTTTGTTAATGTGAAATGTTTTGAAATCAGCAGGTGCTAATTATTAGTTATTATTAAGATATCAGAAAACTGATATCTTTTTGAAACAAACCTACATTGTTTGAAGTTTTTGGTTCTTTCTGAAGTACTTCAGATAATAAATACTTAAATGGTAAATATTTCAGAGACTGTGACATTTCTGCATTATATTTTCTTGCTGATGATTTCTTCTGTTTTAAGTACTTCTGCTAATGTGTCAAGTATGCTTATGGATGGTATGTCCATAGATATGTCATATTGAAGAAATTCATATCTTTGTATGTCCCTTGTTCTCTCCAAGCTCTGTGTAGGACAGAGTGAGTATAAAATGTTGAATGAGATGTTCAGATGATTGACAATACTGGACTTACTGTCTTCTTTCTTACAGGTGCGAGTTTTGTTTTCAAAAGGCCCATTTATTGCTATTTTTGCAAGTGATCCACACATAATTATAAAAGCTATTAACCAGAATCTCAACAGTGTTCTACGTGACTCAAACATAAATGGACATGATTACATGCGAAATATAGTCCATTTGCCTGTTTTTCTGAACAGCCGAGGGCTGAGTAATGCAAAAAAACTGATGGTAGCTTCGACAACCAATGGGGATGTTCCTTACACAGATAATGCAGGTAAAGTTTTGCAGGAGAATAATACTGAGCTTACCAAAACGGCGGTAAAATCTGTTTCCTGGAACAAGCTAATTAAATAATTGGTAGATTATTAATGTTATTTTATAATGCAGTCACATGTATGTGAGTGGAGAAAATGCCTTTTTTTTTTTTTTTTTACCTGATAGGATTGCATGAAGAGATCGACAGAAGAGTTTCTCAGAACAGCCTGGGGGAGATGACCAAGCTTGGCAGCAAAACAGCTCTCAATAGGCGGGTGAGAGATGTTATACTAAATGGTCCAGTACTGGTGATAGGGTTTCTTTTTCTTATTCTTTTCTCATTTTCTTTCATGTATTTGATTGCATCAACTTTGAAGGCTTATCAAACCATTCCTTGGAAGTTAGGATGTATGATCTGTATAGGACAACTGTATTTCTAAATCAGCAGACTGATTTTTTTAATCAAAGAAGAAAAGTTGTGCTTGTTCACTGAAGTGTTCTTTTCAACAAAGCTTTAAATTCAGAAACTCGTGGAATATTTAAGCTTTCTGTGAATGTTGAAATGATACAGTATACTATTTATGTGTTATATCAAATGTTAGGTACCTAAGTCAGTTAAATTCAGCTAAATATTTTTATGGTATTTCAGCCTCACAGTTGTATTTACTCACAGGGTTTTTAACTTTATATTGAAGTAAAATTAATTCCATTTTGAATACATGAATTACTTTGTTACTGATCAGTACTTCTTGCTTTTGTGTGTCACTATCAGGATACTTACCGAAGACGCCAGATGCAACGCACCATTACTCGCCAGATGTCCTTTGATTTGACCAAGCTTTTGGTTACAGAGGATTGGTTCAGTGATATCAGTCCTCAGACCATGAGAAGATTACTAAATATAGTTTCAGTGACAGGTAAGTGTTGCACTTGTTTTCCTGTGACATGAAGGCAAATGCCAGCTTTTTTTGAAAGGATTCTGTTGTTTTATCTGTTCCAGGCTTTGTGTTCTGAATGTTTGAGTAGGAAGTGGGCCCTTGTAGAGGATAACCTTTATTCAGCAGAAACTGGTGGAATAAATAGTATTACTTGTATAGGACTAATTGGAAAACTTCAGGCTTTCATGGATCTGTCAGATGTATTGTTTTAAATATTAAGAATATATTAACGCTATTTGACATGCAGCTTTATTATGGGAAGTATGTGTTAAGGGACCTTACCAAATGATGAATGGTAGTGTGCTGTACAGGTAGATAATTAAGTGAATTGTAGTTTGTTTTGAAGGAAAATGGCACTGTTCTTGTGTTTTAACAGTCCCAGTATTAATCAGATTATCACAAGTTCTGAGTTAAGTGTATGAAAATAGGATTTCTAAACTTAGCATGCCTAATGAAATTTGAGTGCTAGGAAGACTGATACTCTCCTACCCTACCAGCAGTACTAACAATAAAATATTATGTTCAATGACCTGTCTTTCTAGGGTAACATTTAATGCTTAAGTAAAAAAAAAATCCTGCAAATTTCTAATGATAACTGAATCATTTGAAAGAGAGAATTGTGGGAATAAAACTTTCACAGGAGCAGAAATACTGCAGTTGTCTGCGTGCATACGAAGCACAGATTCATCAGATTCAGCATGAAGCACAGCACTGAGTGAATGTAGCTGTATTGCCTGTGCTGGTTGCAAGTCAGAAATCTCCATGTCATTCTTGCATGGCACATAGATGGAGCTAATAAAACTGCTGCAGCTAATTTGTATCTTCCTTAGGGTGTTCCCTTTTACCAGTAGGTGCACAGAGTAGTAATACAGGCAAAGCTTGAACTGATTCCCACTGACGCATCTGGTTGTAGAAGCCTGCTGCAGCTGTATCTGTGCTGCACCCACTGCCCAATTTAACACTATGTTTGGCAGAACGTATTCTAGCATGCTGAAGTAGGTAGAACTGGTTCAGCTCTGGTATAGAGGTGAATTGATCATCTCAGTAGCAAGTATGGTACAAATGCATGGTTGTATCTCTCTGAGGTGAGGTTCAGCTCAGTTCAACTTGCTTGCATAAGCCAGGCTTATTGGCTGTCTTTGAAGCTGTGTTCCCAGTGCTTACATTGTTTGCACTGTCCTAATTTCCCCTTAATTGATTTGGAATATAGTTGTTGTTCTGTATTACGTAAAATGAACCACAACTTGTTTTCTACTCCATTAATTTGAACTAATATAATTAATAGAAGAGTCTCTTATTTTTCCTGTTGGTCTTTACATCTAGTGAGGATTTATATATGAAAACAGACCTAAAATTGTAAACAAATACACTATCTCCTCACATTGTCGTTATCATCGGCAAATTTTATTTACAAATGTAGAAGTGCAACAAAATCACAAACTTAGATATTTGTAGTGATTAAATACTGTAAAAACAAGCAGAAGATACACTGGAAGAAATCTTACAGTGTGCAGTAACTTGTGATTATAAACAATGTCATGAAGAAGCTGTAAATTAAATGTCATCTCACCAATATGAATGCAGTTCTGTAAGGAAAAGTTGCTAAAACTTATTAACGTGGCTCACTCATCCTTTTTCTGTCTCTTAAAATGAGCTTTATTTGTAATTCATACCTTGTCTTATTAAATGAAAGCCATTTTTAATTTATAGCTTTGAAATTCACTTCACTGACTGATAAAGATGGCAGTTCTGGTTATTTGTTTTGACTGTATTTTGTATCTCAGTGCACAAAAGATCTTTCACCATATTAGTGAGAGTTTTGTGAACTTCTGTGTTTAATTTTGTTGAAGTTCACCTGTAACAGAATGAGAACGTTTACCTTGGAGCTGAAGTTAACAGTTATAATACCAGAAAGTACTTAGATCAGGTTGAGGGACATAAGGACAAACATAACTGTTACTTCGGAGGGAGGGAAGAGGTTGAGCAAGGTATCTTTCAAAAGGGGAAGAAAAAAACCAAACCAACACAAACACCTGTGTTTCTTTCTGTCATATTAGGTCGCTTACTGAGAGCAAATCAAATCACCTTCAACTGGGATAGGCTTGCTAGTTGGATCAATCTCACAGAGCAGTGGCCATATAGAACGTCATGGCTCATACTGCATCTTGAAGAGACTGAAGGTGTTCCAGATCAGCTGACTTTAAAAACCATCTATGAGAGGTAGGTGGTGGACTAAAATGATCATTACAAATGATTACTGGGGTATCATGGCTTCCAACAGTGATGTAGTTGTAATCTAGAATTCCTACGGTCTAACTCTTCTGACAACTTGTGGAATGACTTTCATTACTATTTAATGCACCATGTATTCTTTGTATTAAAACCAAAGGGTAGTATACTGGAATTCTTTTACAGGTAACTGTCTGTTTATTTCTTGATCTAACTTTCCTCTCTGCAATGGTCAAGCTAAGTTTGTCTAGTTAGAAATCAGAATCTGCGCTGAAGTCTACAGACTGCCTTTACTCATAAAGATCTCTGCAGTTTTGGTGCTCTGTTAATGATGTGCTCAAGGATGTAGCAGTGTTCTTACTAAAGTTAGAGTGTGAAGGTGGAACATGAGTTCTTTCTTGGTCACTGATACAAGTTGCTGTCTGTAAGTGCTGTCTATGTATTGCATCTGAGAGCAAGAGGTGTTGTCAGTGAACGTGTCTGTATAGATCTGGGCTGCTTGTGTGAAAGGAAATGTAGATAGTGAGAAGTGACATGGTAGAATTGTCATTTTCTGATTGAATAAGATGACAAATACTGCAGTCTTTTTATTTTTAACACAGATTTTCAATTCCAGACCAGTTGGTATGAGAAAAATCCACAGAAGTACAGATAATGTCTCATATCAGACATTTTTCTTTAATGCTACTGAGGGAAAACCTCAGCTGTCTTTCCTTTTAAAGTTATGAAACAGATTTAAATTAAGCCATATTAGGGCCACACTGATGGATGATTGTGTCCTGAGAAAGAAATGCAGTCTGTGCTACTATTTCTGAAAGATTTTGACACTGTATCTAAGCAAAACTTTTTTTTTATGGATACAGATTCTTTTCTTCAGCTTTTCTTCATTCCTTGTCACCTGTATCAGGGGAAGGTCAGGCTGGGTATTAGGAATAGGTGCTTCACTGGAGGGTGGTGGGCATGGAACAGGCTCTGCAGGGCAGTGGGCATGGCCCCAAGCTGCCAGAGCTCAAAGAGCACACTTGTACGTAGGGTTTAGATTTTGGGTGGTCCTGTGTAGATCCAGGAGTTGAACTTGATGATCTTTGTCTTCCTTCTTCCAGCTTAAGATATTCTATAATTTATTGCTTAGCAGTGGAGGATATTGTCAAATAGTTGTTGTTGGGCTTCTGCTGACATTTTTGGAACAACTTTTTAATTGCACATTATTTAGTCTGTTTCATGCAATCCCATTTGTACTGGTAAAGAGTAAACATGGGAGATTCTTACTCTGAAATAAATATGTAAGGACATCCTTTTCACTAATTCAAATTCCAGTTAATTTCTTCACCCCATTGCCAAGTTGCACATGCTTGCTTAACTCTCTTGCTTGAGAAATCTTAATCTTTTCTTCATACTGAGTTCTCTTGTAGCAAGGCCTCCATTAGGATGTTGAGATATTATTAATCTCTTATGAGGTATATTGTTTTCCCAGAAAGCCTGTATGGAATCTTTGCATTACTAGCTACAAACATATGCCTGAAGTTAGTTTAAGGTACTCGTTAGTACCCTTTGATTAATTAGCATCAGCAGTACTAATCACATTGGACTTTGTTCATTCCTATGCTGTCTTCAAGAAATACCAACCTGTTTGAGGTTTCTGAGGAGCTGAAGGGGATATTAGAGACCTGAATTGTTCTCAAAAACATGTACTAGGGATTCCAGTGTAACATGAAATCTGTAATAAACCAATTTGAGGAGAAGGAAAGAACAGGCACGACTGAATGCAGAAGGCTTATTCAAGTTCTGGATTATTAGTTGTTTAGTTGTTAGCACAGACACTTGAATGGCTGCCGCTGTCAGGTGTGGAGGAGATGCATGAAACCTGCCATGCAGTTTTGAATCTTGCTATGCGAGTTGCATCTGAAAGCAGTATTGCCACTTGAGTAGCTTGCAGATTCATAATATAGACATTAATAAACTTATTTATAAATTTATGATGTTTAAAGGATCTGTAATGTGAAGCAACAGTGAAGAACCCTGTGTCATCTCTTGGTTAAAACAAACAAAACCTGCCATAATAACAGCCATGCTTAGGAAGAGAGTTGATGCATCTCTCGCTCTTCTGTTGAACCTGGGTAATTTACAGCTCTCCTAATATAGTGACAGAGCTGAGATCTCATCTGTCTGATGATTTGGGCAATTGTGTTCACCATTGCTGAGTATGAAAAGGTCTGTGAACTCTCCTCTTGGGTTATCTGATGCTCTGAAAATTCTGTTTTATTCAAAATAATCCTTTCAGTGTATAGCAGTGTATTGCTGCTCTTCATGTACAACTGTTTGAAGTAATTTGGCTTGAATATCTGCTCCTGTATCAATTCAAAATAGAGTATTTAATTTAGCTCCTCTTTTAGAACTTCAATCTCTGTTTTCTTAGGTTTTCTAGTTGATGGAACAGCTTTCCCATTTGGAGTGCCATGAACGTACCAAAATCTGGTATCTATTCATATCTTCTATTCCTGTACCAAGTGCCTGTTACTTCTTTCCCAGCTTTTATTCTGGAAGGAGTTATTTGAAAATGTTTTGGTGCTTTAGAACAGGAACCAGAATATAATTTTCCTAGCATTGGATAGTTTACATCAAAATGCTTTTTTACTGTGGCAGTGCACATTTTCTTTGGTTTTGATGCATTTCTGAGCTGTAAGTGTGTGAGAAGAGAGCGCTGCTTGGACACCTCCTTTGAAGATGTCCATTTCAGAGATTCTTTTTTATATGTAGGGTTTTCAACTTGTGATTGCTTCCCCCATATGAGGGCTTTGATGGCATATTTGCTGTCCACCTTAGGTCTCCCTTTCAGTGACCGACCCATTGGGTAGGTCTGTTATAGGTACATTCAACTGAAGAATTGCAACAGATACTTCAGGTGTGCACTGAGGTTATGACAAGAGGTGACAAAGCCATTGTACAGCTGTTGCACGGCAGTTTCTGGAGGCAGGCAGCTCCCAGCTGTTCCCTGCCAGCAGTTGGTGCCGGCAGGTGGCACTCACGCGGTGCTCTGCATGGCTCATGGAGCCCTGCGCTCAGGTACAGCATCAGTGATCTTTTCCATCAGGTGCTTTGTTTTTCAGTGTTGATTCAAAGAATAAGCGATACAGGTATGGCTAAAATGAAAAGAATCAAGTAGTTGAGCATTAAGAAATGGAAGAATAAAATAGCCTGCCTGTGCAGTTTGCAGACAATGTAGTAAAGGGAGGGCTGTCTGCATCAGCAGTCACATCTCAGTGCTGTCTGTTCCAGTTAGGAACACTGAACTAAGACAACTGAAAGCTGTTCTAGAACTATTCATCAGTTCCTTAGTGAAGCTAGAGTAGTCACCTCCTGTACCTTTCACTTGGATAGTGTTGTGCCTCTCCTGGATGGTGGCAGCACGTTGTGGGCTGATATCTGCGAGTGCTGAGTACTCAGAGCAGTGCGGGAGCCCAGAGCTGCAGTGTTCCTGGGGGAGAAGATAAGATATCTCAAATTGATTTGTGAATAAATATACCTATAGCTCTTTGTTTCCAAATAAACTAATACATTCTTTTCACAAGTGATTGCTAGAGATAATAAATTTCCTAGTGCATTTTCTGTAGGTACTGTGTAGACTGATGTGAAGGACTACTAATTAGTATGATTCTGTTGGGAGTAGTGTGTCCCATACTTCTCAGAGATGGGAAAGCATTGGATATTGCACGAGCAACATTTTCCTAGGATCTTCTAAAAAAAAAAAAAATTAAAATGAGCATCACTTTGCAACGTCTCTGCGGGCAGACTTTGTGAACTAATGCTGTTTGCTTATCTCTTAGTAACAGGTAGACATTCTGTGTTATAGTCCTTTCTTCAATAGATGGAAATAAGTCCATGCTTTTCAATTATGTCGAATTTTGAAAATAAATATTGAGTCTACATTGTTCACTCTTTGTCTCCAGATTCTGGAAAAAAAAAAAGTCCTTAATCTTCGTACTTTCTTTAACATGCCGTATCATCTCACTTGAGTCCTCTTACTTGGCAGTGTTTCTCTTTGCTGGTATGGATCTCTTTGTTCAGCCTTCTGGTTGGTATACTTAATAGCACCAGTATTTACTCTTTAGAACTTGGCTGTTGCCTTTCCAAGTGTTCTTTTGCCAACAGGTTTTTCATGCAGTCTTTCTCCTTGCCAGGTTAAGCTCCCATTCTGATTTCTCATCTGTTGTGTCCTCCTTTCCCCTTGGTGTTCACGTTGATCTGTGATCATTAACCATGTCTTTCTCCAGCGCTGGTTTCATTCATTTTATCATGTTCTTTTTACATTCATTATTGTAGCATACAGTTAGTATTTGTCTCTATTTATGTTGTGCAGGGTTCTCTTCTGTGTTACTGTAGAGTCTCCCTAATGTCAGTTCTGTGTCATGCCAAAATGGCTTGTAGAAATTGCAGAAAGCAAACGTTTGTAACCCTGAAAAGGGAGCAAAATACTCAAACGTTCTGTAAATGAAGTTGTCACAGTATTAAGTTGCCGGATTAAAGCAAGTTTCAACTGAACATTTGCAACTGATACTTTTCACACTTGTAAACTAGCCAGCTATGGGAATGTGCTCTTCTGAAGACTACATAAAATATCCATGACACTAGAATGAATATCAGTGCCAGATCTAAATAAAGGATATACTGGGAAAAGCCACAGTGGCTTTTGGACAGAGAAGATATTTTTCAAGAGTATGAATTTTCAGCAGAGTCAATGAACATGTGAAGAATGTGATGTAATGTCTTGAAGTTTCAGAAGTTTTAAGCAAGATCCTGAGAGCATTCACATGTATTAAAACATTCACATGTATTAAAACTTAGGGTAATTGCAGGCAAGATTGTTTGAGGAAAGCAGAAGAGAGAAGCAAAAAGTAGGAGGAAGAGTCCCATGAGAAACTCCCTCTCTGACTGAGGGAAAAGATGCAATATGGAGATTTAATTGGGACAACTGTTTCACAGAGGGTTGCAGA